GAATGCAAACCACAATAGTCAACAGGAAAGCAAGGGAGGTGGCGAATTGGAGGGATTCCATGATGGAATTTCGAAAAGCGGGGAGTAAAATAGCTGAAAGATTGACCATCAGTGGTGGGATGGATAGGGCTGCGGATATGGCGTGCAGTGGGAAATATTAACCAGGCCCCCGAGCAAAGGGAGCAGCTGTGTCAATAGGATTGTGGTAGGTCACAGAGGAAGGGTGAGATTTGACTGTGAGGACGAGAATCTTGAATTGGATCCCTTGGGAGATGTAAGCAAGTGGTGCTGAGTGAGGAGGAGGATTGGGTGGTGGGGGTACAGTAATGGTTGCAGCGTTCTGCCACTTGTGCATTAAGGAGTGGTGGAGGTCGGCAAGTGAGGCGTTGGAATTGCCAAGCCGTAGCGTGATGAATGCCTGAATGAGGGTCCAGGCATCCTTGGATTATTGAGTTTCTGCAGTATAATAAAACTGGGATATTATATTGACAATTGCTATACTAATATGTGTCCATTCCTGAATATATTGTTGAGTCAATCCTTCTTAATGAACCTGTAACTCTAAAGAAATATAGAATTGTTGGTTGGGATAGTTTTGCTCCTCTTCCATGTTAAAATCTGAGCATTGCTCAGAATAGTTCATTCTGAAAAGTATTTTATTTATCATTGGAAGATACTATCTTATTTTATTCAGTAAGTAATTTTACTTTGTTTTAACTTAACACTAGAAAATATTCTATGAATACATTTAGCAAAAAATAATAAAGGAACTTCAGCAATATTGTGGCATTCACACATAAGCATTTTGATATCACTTTTAAAGATGTTTGAAATACGACATATTATAGTTTTATTTCAAATTATACCTGTACCTTGTATTGTGTGTAACTACCATAAGTATAATTGCTGACAGAAATAAAATAGAAAGTTCTATAAAACTAGCATTTATAAAATGTGGATTTACACATTAAAATGACACGTTAAATTTAGTAGAGAATTTTGCACTAACAGAAGGAGATTAAGTCGCTCATAACAAATTATAGTATAGTACAGTGGCCCCTTGAGCATTTTGATCTATTTTTCCACTCTTTGCTTTGTCCCTTAATAACTTCCCAAGTATCTATCTCAATTTTTAGACACCTCATTTGGTTCTGCAATCGTGACCGTTTGCGGTAGAGCATTCCACAATCCTTCTAATACAAATACTCTACCACCCTACTCTTCACATCCTACCTAATTCTCTGGCGTGTGTTTCCACTAATCCCTCAGTGATTGTACAAATTATTATTTCTAGTGAATGGCCCTATCCAACGAATGTATAATATGGGAGGAGAACTTAATCTGTGGGAGCTGTTGGTAGCGCACACTAAAAAAAATCCTTGCATTTGATCTACTGCCATTCACATTGGGAAGATGTCTCAAAGTGCTGCACATGATGTGCTTTAAACTGTGTGGATTTTGAGGCAAATTCAGCAGTCAATTTGTGCACATCACTATGCCACAAGTGGCTTGGAGTGCATAACTATTTTTATTTCATTGACTGTTGTCCAGGATGTGGGAGCAACTCCCATTTCTTTTCAAATAGTAACATGGGATCTTTAAATCCATTTCAAACGCTGACGGGACCTCGTTCAAACATCGTATCTGAAGGACAGCACCGCCAACAATGCACTACTTTGGAGTATCAGCCTGGACTTGTGAGTTCAACCTTCCAATATGGACCTTAAACCCACAACTTTCTGATATGGAAGGGACGCTGCTACAGACTGAGCCAGCCTGACACCTTTTGTACGTTTTTACCCTTGTTGGAGTGTGGGTATTTGGTGGAGGAAGAAATCCCTGTGGCCGCTACCAAAATTATTATACAGATTATTGAATGACCCTTACACCATACAGGAAAACTATTTAACAAATTCATTCAGGAACATGTTGATTTTTTCCTTCTTAAAATCTATACAGGCTTTCTTCTGAAATCCATCTATCATTGCAATCTTTCTTGCCTTATGTTGCTAGTGTTTTGCTTCAAAGATACTAAAATAAAATTGATGATCTTTATCCCGTAGATCAGAATTTCCTTTTAATTGTGTGTTGTGTAGGAAAATACAAGTTGGGTTTGAAAAAAGTTCTATTTTAGCCTTTTGTAAGTTACTCTATGCTCTAGTGGTCTAACTGCAAACCTCTGTGGTACTTTGTGTTCCAGCTAATGAACTTGGTTTTTCTATAAAAATGTGTTAAAAGTGAATGTTAAAGGTGTAAACATTCGAAGGACACGTTGCAATTTCGTATCCTAATTAGCATTCTCTCTGCCCTCAGCTGTTTGAGAACTGATCTGCCACGTAGTAATGCTGTGCCCATATTTTACATGAATTTCCCTATTGTAATTCTTGTATTGTGTCAATAGAATACATTATTAGCCCATTCATGCAACGATCATTAACTCTATTTAACATCTCCATTTGATCTTCTAAAATGGTAGAATCAGATCTTAATGTAGAGATTCACTTGAAGTTTAAATATTTGGCTGGAATTAATTCTATTACCTGAGCAGAATTAAATTGTAATTGCACTTTATGATTCAGGCTTGCACAAGTGGCATATGACTAATAACTGACATTCCGTGTTGTTACCCTTCTGCACGTGTATTATTCAAAACTGAAGTTATTTCTCAGATAAATTGAGGATCAATTTTCACACCTCCAAAAGTTAGCTGGAATTACGGTGGTGGAAAATCAAGAAGTGGAGGAGAAGTTGATACTGGATCAAAACTGCAGGTTTAAATGCATTCATAGACAACTTAGACTTGATGTAGCAATTTGACCTCTTGGGTATTCCAAAATTTTCTGTTATTGGTTTAGGAGAAGCGAGTGCGGTCACGGAGCCAAATATAACATACGATTCTGTCAAATCTGACTAACAGGACCTATAATAGGTGGGAAATAGTACAGCACAACATACTACTGATATAGCAATACATGCTTCATAACTAATAGTTTGCTAAAGCAATCTGGAGATGCAAATTGAGATGTTTTAATTTACTGTAACATCTTCCCAGTTGCCTTATAAGTGGGGTCTCTATCTGTGACCAGGGCTCCCTCTGCCTCCTTGCCCTCCTGGACCTCTCTCTGCGGCGTTCGACACAGTCGATCACGCCATCCTCCTCCACCACCTTTCCTCTGTCATCCACCTCAGTGGGACCGCACTCGCCTGGTTCGAGTCCTACCTCACAAACCGCCAGCAGTACATCTGCACAAATGGCTTCTCCTCCCGCTCTCACCCGGTTAACTGCGGGATACCCCAAGGATCCATCCTTGGTCCCCTCCTCTTTCTGATCTATATGCTCCCTTTTGGGGATGTCATCCGCAGACATGGGGTACATTTCCACATGTACGTGGACGACACCCAACTTTATTTTTCCACCTCTCTTTGCGACCCCCAGTCCCCTGATGTTCTGTCAGACTGCCTGTCAGATCTCAGGGGCTGGATGAGCGCAAATTTCCTTCAGCTGAATGTTGACAAGACGGAAGCCATACTCTTTGGCTCTCGTCAACGTCTCAAGTCTTACGGCTCTCACCTACTCCACCCACCCGACCTCCCCTTAAAACTCCCTGAACCCGTACGCAGGTTCGACCCACAATTATTCTTCCTCCCCCACATCCGGTCCCTCACCAGCACCGCTTTCTTCCACCTCAGACGCATCGCCCATCTCCGCCAATACCTCTCTCCGAAAGCCACTGAAACCCTAGTCCATGCCTTTGTCACCTCTCGGCTGGACTATTCTAACGCCCTCCTCGCCGGTCTCCCATCCACTACCATTCATAAAATCCAAATCATTCAAAACTCTGCCGCCCGCATTCTCACCCGCATCAAACTCCGCTCCCCGATCACCCCAGTCCTTGCCAGACTGCACTGGCTCCCTATCCCAGAGAGGATCGATTTCAAGATCCTCACCCTTGTATTCAAGTCCCTGCACTTCTCTGCACCCCCCCTACCTCTCTGACCTCCTTTCTCCTCAAAACAGTACCCGTTGCCTTCGTTCCTCCGGGTCTGGCCTCCTCCTCATCCCCCAAGTCCTCCGCTCCACCCTCGGTGGCTGTGCCTTCAGCCACTATGCCCAGAGGCGCTGGAATTCCCTTCCTCACTCCCTTCGCCTCGGCCCCTTTCTTCCTATTTTCAGGTCCCTGCTGAAGACCTTTCTTTTCAACCGCGCCTTTGGTCACCTTCCTCCCCCGGCTCAGCCCCGGGATCCATTACTGTGAAGCCCTCTGAGACGCCATCCGGCATGGAGGGCGCTATATAAATCCAAGTTGTTGTTGGTGGTGGTGTTTTCTGATTTTTGTCTCTGCGCCCATGGAATGTTTTGTAGAATTTCAGCATGAAGACAACAAAATCTTTAGTGAAAATAGTTTTTTGTTTGGATGTGTAATTTTCCATAAAAGTTCTAATTGTGGTTTGTGTAGTGAGGGTTAATTGTGTGCATTATGACCCTCAGTTATCCTTTCTACCCCACATCTGTCCCATGTCCCACTCTACCTTCCCCCACCTCCGCAATATTGACCGGCTCTGCCACAGGCCGCCAAAACCCTCATAAACGCATTCATAACTATTTACTTGCCAGTAAGTAGGAACTCGGTTGTTAGTCGATTGGCGGATCGCTCTTCTGGGGGTAATAATCCCTTCAATAGAACTAATAATAACAAATTGCTCACTTCAATCCACGACTGTTTGTGGGACACTGCTGTGCGCAATTGGCTGCCGCGTTTCGCCCACAAAATATACAGTCAATTCACTTTACAGTGTATCCTGTGAAGCACTTTGAGACGTCTCGAAAACGTGATAAGGTGCTATATCAAATGCAAGGATTATTATTATAAACAATTTTTCTTTCTCTATCTTTCTTCCAAAAATATGCCAAAACATAATTTGTAGCCTTGAATGGAATGTGAGATTGATTGTTTGGTATAATAATAAAATATAATTGATTGTTTGGAATTCCTGTGCAGATGGTGGTTAAAACATTCATGGACATGGACCAGGACTCTGAAGATGAAAAACAACAATACCTTCCACTGGCTTTGCACTTGGCTTCAGAATTCTTCCTCAGGAACCCTAACAAAGATGTGCGTCTGCTCGTGGCATGCTGCCTGGCTGACATCTTCAGAATCTATGCTCCAGAAGCTCCATATACATCTCATGACAAACTCAAGGTAAATATGATTGCATAAGATCAGAAACTGAAAAGTACTCAACATTTACTGGATGGAAATTTAATTAAATGTTTGTTCTTGGCCAAAGCATTTAGCCATAAAAAATTAAGGATAAGAAGACAACTAACAGTTTCCTGCTTTCCACATCCTAATACAAACTGTGGAATTTGGTGTAAAATCCCTGGCCTATTCAGGATTACTGTACACATCTATTTGCAAGTGGGGAGTTTCCATTTAGCCATTGACCTTGCGTGGAAGTGTTTGCCAGCATAATAACCAAGATTGTGAAAGAACCATTAAATTAATGAGGTAAGATTTAAAAATTGAGCAAAACCACTAGTGTTCTATTCTCTAATCTCAGTCAAAACCTTCTTGTTCCATATGATCAACAATTTAACTCAATGCCACTGCTATGGGCAATTCGCTGCTGTGTTTCGCCCACAAAATACAGTCAGTGCACTTTACAGTGTAAAGTATAAATGTAAGGAGGATTATTATTAATTGATTTAAAATACAACAACAACAAGATTCCATTTATAGAGCGCCTTTCACGTCGGGAGGACGTCCCAAGGCGCTGTACAGTTGGGTCAGGACCCGAGCAGGGGGGAAATGGTCAGGGTGAGGGGAGGGAAAATAGTAAATTGTTTGTTCCTCTTTTCCGGCTGCCGCAACCTTACAATATTACAATATCTGCTGTATTTCTCCCTTCATGCCATAGATCATTCCTGAACTAAAAACTGAAAAGTACTCAACGTTTGCTGGGTGGAAATATAATTAAACGTTTGTTCTTGGCAAAAGCTCTCTACATGAGAGTAATACAAAATTGTTTGTACGTTTCTGACTACAGCAAACAATTTAGAAATTGTAGGTATAAACCCATGTGCTACACATTCCATGATGATTGAGTTCAAGCACCACTTTTCTTCTCTTCTGAGTGGTTGCTGCTGTTAAAAAAAATTGTTGCTTTATTTTATTCTAGGCAGTCATCGAGAGAGAATTTCTGAAATGTTTTCTCCATAATAAAGTGAACCGTCTTTATATCTGTAATTCAAATCTAAATGCAGAATAATAAATAATATTCTGAAATGCATTCAAATATATAATAATTCTATGTCTTTTTTCTGTCAAACAATTTAATTCTAAGCAAGAGATAATTTGTTACGATTATGTCATACTCAATGCTATTGTGCCAACTGTATGATTAGGATCTGAAGGGAGGAGAGTCACCAGCATAGGTTTACACAAGAATTACAGTGTTGAATCTCGTGCAGTTAATAGATCAGGATAGATCTGCTTAGAAATTTTCATTTAATCAGAGCAATTTCACCACAAACAGGATTGTATTTAAATACATATCCTTAGTCATAGAATCACAGAAATGTCAGGACACAATGTGACCATATGTAATATACAATATAAAATTACATTTATATAGCACCTTTCAAATTGGGAGGATGACCCAAGGCACTGCTCCATAGCTTCTCCCTGGAGCTACTTACTCGAATCCCATACCCTAACACAGAGAATGCTGGATTTCTTTTCAGGATGGTCTATGGCATGATGAAAGAGACACAGCAGTTATTTTAGAATCAGACAACTGCAGATTTCAATACAACTCTGGGTTACTTAAAGGGCCCCGCACTAACCAGAAGTCCTGTCGATCTAGTTTCTGTCACTGACGAGCTGACTTTCTGCTCTAAAAATTGGCCAACTTCCAGGTCACCTCTGACATCATTTCCAGTGAACTATGTGTAGGAAGAGGAGCCAACGGACTGCGTGCGCAGAAACAGTCAACAACATGATTTTAATGTTTCTCATCTATAAACATGGTTGGTGAGACATTCGACCCAGCTGAGCTGTATTTACCCAATCATGAGAGAAATGTTTAATGTTTTATTTAAACAAATATTTTCATCAAAAATAAATGAAAGGTGCTCTTATATTGAAGTATACAATAATTATATAAACAGTTGGTGCTGATAGCTAATTTTGTTTGGGTGAGAGAGGTTGGAAAGCTGTGAGGAGGCTGAATTAATATTTGAAGCAATCTTATTCCTACTAAATTTAGCTATCAGCCACTAGCTCATTCCCTCAAATCCTTTTATTGGAATTCAGTTTTTCACTCAGTTTGTGTTGTGAAGTTGAGAGGCCTCTTGTCCTGATAGAGAAGCATAGCATCTGAATTTGCTAAATTAGTACCTTTAGGAGTCTCACACCCTTTTATTTCTGGAACAAGATCTCATATTTCATTTGAATTTGGGTCAGGAGTTTTTTTTACAGTCAATCAGTGAATAAGTTGCTGTACCCAGTACATACCACAGTATATACATTATGCATTTTATAATATGTAATCTCTGTGCAAACCTTACTTAGACTGTGTTTTACTCTTAAGCTGTACAGCATTGAAACATTAATTACAGAAGTCTGTGGAAATTGTTTTCAATGTTTTAGTTTTGGGATTTTATATATAGAAGAATTCAGATTTAAACTCATTTTTACGTCATTTTTAACTACAATGGAATCCACTTTAGCCGGACAACAGTTAACCCCGGACGATAGGTAAATCGAACAAAACGCTCGTCTCCAACTCATTTGTATCCTTTTTAAATAATGCGGTTGACTCAGACAAAAATCTGGTTAATCCGAGCAAAATGCCAGGCTGGTTGCCGCTGGATGTACTCACTCAGGCCTTATGTGTGTCCATTCAACCACGAAGGGCTCCGGGATGGAAATAGGAGGCGTCTAAGATTCATTGACAACAGACACCAGCCATTCACAAGTGGCTGGAGTTGGGCTGTCAATCAGTAAAGGGCGGAGGAACAGGGAAGAACAACGGAGAGGAGTATTGAGGTTGATTGACAGCTGAGCCACTTGCGAGTGGGTGGAGTGCCACAAAGCTGTCGATCACCTCAGCGCCACTGCTAATTGGTCCCATTCCCGTCCAATGGGAATGGCAATGGGAGGGAGGAAATTGCTGGGTACTTTACAGCCAAATAAAGGTAATTATATTGTATTCTGTGAAAGTACAGGATTTTAACTTTAACTCCTCGGTTAAAATACTTGGTGTTCTATTTGGTTAGTCAACATTGCTTCAAGTGAAATTACATCATTTCGTATTTTAATAATGCTGTGTTGATGGTGCTCCTCTGCTGGATGGGAATGATATTTCAACTAACCTCGGACGCCCCTTAAGCTGGACAAAACGCCTGTCCCCGCTTAAGCAGATGTATCAGGCTTAACCGGCCTCCAGTGTAATTGTAATTGTCCATTGGTAAATTTTTGGTGTTATCCACAGGACATTTTCATGTTCATTACACGGCAGCTGAAGGGATTGGAAGATACGAAAAGTCCACAGTTCAACAGATATTTTTATTTGTTAGAGGTAAGCCTATGAGATAAGATTTCGGGGTTAAGAGTGTTAAAATGAAACCCATTGTCCTTGTAATTGATCCTCTGCTAATAAAAAAAAGTTAGCATTTTAAAATCTTTAAAAGGTTATTAGATCCAACAAGCCCCAACTATTTTTGTTTCTACTTGCCTTCTCACCAAAACCCAAACTTCCTCCAGAATCTATTTTTATTTTGAACCCATTTATACTATTCACGTCATATTCCACATGTCCGTTGACCATTGTTTGTTTAAAAAAAGTCTGACATTATGCTGCTACTTTTAATTTCTGCCACTGGTATTTAATGAGAGCCTTCCCCAGAGCAAACAATTTGCCTGCAGCTCTAGCAGTTTTACTAATCCCTTCATAATCTTGAACACTTTAAATAGGTCATTTCAATCTCTGTCAAAGAGAACAAACGGGCCCACCTTTATTGACATTTCCTTCCTATGATTAGGTAACTAGAATTGCATAATTGGAGAAGACTCAATCTAGTCATGCATCTTCATAACAGTTTAATTTTTACCACGACACAAATCTAATCATTTCTTGAATTGTCAACATTTATTGGGGTCTTGGTTTTCATTTAAGAGACATCGATTTGTAGGGTAACTTTATTCTTTCAGTATCTGTGGAAACAAAATGATACATTTGTACTTAAAATGTTCAGCCTATATTGCAGTACACTGTAATCAGCTAGTGCTGTTGTTAAGCTGCAGTTGGAGTACAGTTCTACTTGCAACAGTTTAAGGGACTGTTCAGGCCCCAGAGGAGGTACAGGGAAGACCAACAAGGATGATCTCCAATGTTCAAAACATGAGTTTTCTAACTGGATGGGGCTTGAAAAGAGATTCTTCAGCGTCAGAGTTAGTAAAGACAAAGTAAACTCGGAATACTTTAGGTAAGCCAAGGTAGCATAACAAAATGGCACAGATTCGGGATTCTAAAACGGCAATTTCCAGACAGGGACATAAGGTATTTCTTTAAGCAGTGGATAATTAATGACTGGAATGGTTACCAGGAAGGAAAGTTAATGCTGGTACGCATTTAAGAAGCAGCTTGATGCTGTCATGAAAGCCATTGGCTTGGGTATTTTGGAAGGATGCGATCAAATAAGCCGAAAGGCCTTCTTCATCCCATACTGTCTTGTGAACTGGAATTTTATGTTCTGTTCTGGTATCATGTTTTTAATATTTTAGTAACAAATGGCATACGCAAGCATTATTGTTTTGCAGGACGGTTAGGGACCTCGGCAAATGAAAGAACCTCCTTTTACTTGTGCAGGTGGTTTATTGTGGTTCATCTGTTCTTTTATCAAACTGGTTATTTTTAATTTCCAAATACAGTATAAAAACAGTGAAAAACACATCCAAAATAAGGAGATAGACTCAGTTCTGAGACTAGAATCTTATCAGCAGCTGATAGCCACTATTAAAATGCAAAAAAAGCTAAATATGCCAAAAAGCAATACAAAATTACATTTGTACAATTGTGTGTGGGTATGACCTATAAATATGCCAGAAAGCAGGCAACATTCTACATGTTATTAGTTGGCTACTTGAATGAAAAGTATATATTAAGGAAATATTGAAGGATGGGAACAAGCTGTATGGCCTAAAGTTGAAAGCAGAGCCCCAGCATTAAAAACATCCAATGACCGAGCTGGAGAGGAGAATTTAAGATGCTCAACATACCCAGAGGTAGGATGGGAAGTTGACCGTGAGGAGGGTGAGGGCAAGGATCCAGATGCTTCCCATTGGTTCTGTTGAACTGGGCCGTAACTGTCAGATGTAAAAGCACTCCTTTTCGGCATAAAACAATCTTCCTGCTGCTCTTTTGTCAGCCAATTCTAGTAAAAGTGGTTTCTTAATATTCATCAAAAGATACGATGCATCAGATTTAATCAGAAAATTGGTGCTGTTCAGCAGAGTCTGTTGCTGTGGTTTTGTTACAACTACTGCAAATGCATAGTAGGTTGATCATCTGAAAGAGAAGTCACATCCACTAAGCTTTCGTAACAGGTGTTTTTTGATAACAGTTGGAGCTGCTGTTTATGATCAGAGTTACTCATGAGGTTCTCCTGGGTTTTAGAGAACCCAAAGATTTCATGATGTTTTACATCTGAGAGCTCATTTTAAACTTTGAAGCATGAATCAGATTCAAGTACAGCACGTGATTGTGAAGAAATTAAATGTCCTCATTAAACAGAGACTGAAGGAACTGTGCCTATTTTCATTGGAATAGAGAAGATGAAGGGAAACCAGATAAAAGATCTTGAAACTTATGAAGGTTTTGATAGTCAATGGGGAGAAATTATTTTTGCTCATCAGTGAGTGAATGACTGGAGGCAACAGTGTTAGATAATTAGCAAAGTGGGAGATTAGGAGGATTTTTTTTCAGAGTTGTTAGGATGTGAAATGTACTGCTGAGAGAATTGGTTGAGGCAGAATCTATATTCGCTTTCAAAAGGGAGCTAAATAGATATCTAAAAATATCTCCTTTGCAGGAGTATGGAGAAAAGGCAGACACATGGGACTGAATAGAATTTCAAAGAGCCAGTACAGGTGAAATGGGCCGAATAGACTATTGGTGTGCTGTAAATGTTTATGGTTCTATGGAGATTACATTTTAAATTCTAATAACTTACAGACACTAATTAGTTTTTACACAAGAGGAGATAGGAGATGAACTGCTTGAATTTGTTTCACCTACCCACATATTAACTTGGGAGCACATAGATATCTGTAGTTAATGCTAGTTGTCCATTATTCAACTATTTTGTACTAAAGATTGATTTTTTTAGTTCATAATGATGACAAACAATATAATTTTATTATGTTCCACAGAACCTGGCATGGGTGAAGTCCTATAACATCTGTTTTGAGCTTGAAGATTGTAATGAGATTTTCATACAGCTCTTCAGAACCCTCTTCTCGGTCATTAAGTAAGATATTTAAGTACTATGTTCACAGTGCACGGTTTCATGCTTTTAAATTGAGCTTTGTTTCGTTAAATTGTTCTGGTATTTTGAAATATTTATTAGCTTTTGTTTCCCTGTGAATTTTTTGTGTACAATAGAATTGTTGCAGTTGTTAGCCCTGCTGTTCTCCGAAGTTCAGCTTGGATCAGGTACATTGCTAGATGCAATAATAAGCTTTATGTGTTCAACTTCACTTACAAACAGCCATTGGAAACCAGGGTGAATCAGAGACATTTTTTTTAATGTTTGATATAGCGCCATATCACATTGTCGAGATGTGTAAAAGCGCTTCACAGAATACTGTACAGTGGAGTGTCTATTTTGTGGGCGAAATTCAGAAGCCAGTTTTGCACACAGCAGTGCTCTACAAACAGTCATGGAATAAGTGACCAATTTTATTTGGGGGATTGTTGGCCAGTACTCCTTTCTCTTTTCAAATAGTGTCATGGGATCTTTAATGTCCACCTGAAGAGGCAGATGGGACCCGAGTTTAAAGTCTCATCGGAAGGACGACATCTCCAACAATGCAGCAAACCCCCTGCACTATATTGGAGTGTCATCTTAGGCAATTTGATTCCAAGTCCCAATGTGGGGCTTGAACCCACAACCTTCTGACTCTAGTGGTGCCACCGTTGTGCCAGGCTGACACAAAATAACATTCCCCTTGTGTGTGCTCTCCGGCTGCTCTTCAGGGAGGTAGAAGGGTGAGAAGAAAGGAAGCTTGACCTCTGGAGACATTCCACTTGGCTTCCTTTTCCCACTTTTCCCTTTCTGAACAATTGTCATCTAATACCTACTCTTCTCCTCCCTAAACCCCCAAAGTTCTTGACGTAAGTGCTGCATTATATTCATTCCTACATCTCTACTATTTAATCCTGACCTCATTCGCTCCACATCCATTTCAACACTCAGTAGTAGTGTTTGTTTTTCTTGGTCTCGGTTTACATGTTAAGATATTTATTCAGTATTTGAAGTTTTTCGTGTTTATTGCATTGCTGCTTTTGTTGAGTTCCACATATCTATTAATTAAGGAGGTAGAAGGAAAGAGAGGAAAGAAATGGACTCCAATTCTTTGGTCCTGCTTGAAGCCTCCTGATTTTAAGTGTATGCTTGTCCCGCTCGTGTTCCAAGTCACTTCAAATTTATGTCATTGCATTACAGAACAAACTGCTCGCGTTCTGAATTCAAAGTGGCTTAGCAAACCTAATTTCAAAAAAAGCTTGTTGTATATTGTATCCAGGGCTCATTATATCATTATGCTAGTGGTTAGAATTGTAATTTTGGTATTCTACCAGTGAGTTTGAAGAATGCAATCTGATGCCTGCTCACACACAAACCAAGCTTTTCTGTGAATTTTTTTTTGATAAGCAAATTCCATGTTAAACAAAAAGAGAGAGAGCTGGGAAAACTCAGCAGGTCAGGCAGCATCCATGGAGAAAGGAAAGTGAGTCAACGTTTCGGGTCCACGACCCTTCATCAGAACCGAAATCCATATTAAGTTTGATAGATAAACGATTGTTATCAAGTAGGTGTGTTGTCCTAGCCTTGCACCTTAATTTTAATTCCTACACAATCTACACTTCACAAGATGTGATTGCAGGTCAATTCCAAAATGACCAATTGTAAACAATGGCTGTAATTAAAGATCAATTCAGTAGTTAAAAATTGGTTGGATAAAACTAGACACATAGTCAAAATCAGTGCCCTACGTTTTTCAGAAATGTCAAAACATCACTTGGAGACGTGGTAAGGCGCATTATCAAAATGCAAGGATTACTATTATCTTATTCAGGTTTTCCAAATCCTACGGGGAAAAACTGATATAAACTAATTCTGGTAGCCTGTTTAATACATTGGAAATGCCCATAACAAGTCATCTCAAGCTCAGAGGGGAAAGGTAAATGGAAATTAAGATGGTTTATGCAGAGAATAATGAATGTGTACAACAATTTGACCAGGAGGAAATTAAGGCAAGTATTGTGGACGGTTTCAAAGAGACATTAGATAGGTTTTTGATTGCAAGGAGGATATGGTAGGGGAGAGAGATGATCTGACTTGGGTTGATGATATTTAGAAAATGGAACAGGCCAGACTGAGTAAATTGTTCTTGTACATCCCTTTGTTTTGTTCTACCTGAATTTACGTAAGTAAATAAAAAAACAGAAAAAAAATCTAAGGTGTTTATTAGTCCATTTTCAATTCATCCTCTTCTCTTGGGCAACTTTCCTTATCCCATACACCTTTGTTTACCTAGCAGGAAGGAGGAACCCGGTTGTTAGGCGATTGGCAGATCACTTTAAGGGGTAAAAAAAATGGTCGCTCAATCAATGACAGTTTATGGTACACTGCTGGGCGCAATTGGCTGCGCGTTTCGTTCACAAAATACACAGTCAATCCACTTTACAGGGTATTCTGTGAAGCACTTTGAGACATCTCAATGACTTGATAGGATGCAATATCAAATGCAAGGATTATTCTTCTTATTCCTTATTTATTGTGTTAATATTAAACACATTTACTCTTTCAGTTCCCTGGTTTACTTAACTCATTCATTTCAGAGAAAGAAAAGCTGCTAATATTGTTGAATAATCTGCCTTTGTCTGTCTGAAAGCAGAAACCACAAATAGTAACTTTTGGTAGACAATTTAACCTCCACTTTCCTTGATGCCTAACTGGAGCAGAGCTTTGTACAGGGTAATTGAAAATGTCTACAAACCATGATTTTCAAGTTTTATTGGATACTTTGCCGTTTACCATAAGTAGCAACACATTACTGCTGCCCTGGCATATGTGTAGCCTTTTGTCGATGTGTTGATAGGACCATGAATGATTCCGAAACTCTATTCTGCGTGAAGGGCACTGTATAAATGCAAGTTGTAGGAAAACTAGTCAGCTGTTTTCTTCACCTAGTAACTCTAACGAAAGGCACCTCAAAAGCAAAAATTGCATGCATTTCAATACTTGGGAACATTTTGAACATTTACTTCTTGAAGTTTGCAAACTAATTCTCTATTCCCTACAAAATAAAATGTTGGGGAACCCAAAAATATCAGCTCCACCAACCATGTAGTGTGCTTGGGAATTTTTAAAATATTTTCCTATTGAAGTTTGTAAACCTTATTCCCAACAAAAGACATTTTCAGGGAACCAAAAAAAAACAGCTCTACCAATCCCCTAGTGTGCTGTTCTTTTTCCAGACCCGTAGTGTGCAGAGGAGAAACCTGATTTGGAAAAGAGGATTACTACATTGAATTGAAGTTGCCATGAATCTAATTACTAACCATTTCAAATTATTCTTATCTCAGTAATAGCCATAATCAGAAGGTTCAGATGCACATGCTGGACTTGATGAGTTCTATCATCATGGAAGGAGATGGAGTAACTCAGGACCTGCTGGACTCCATTCTAATCAACCTTATTCCTGCACACAAGGTTTGATTTCATCTTTAAAACAATTTCAATGTGCTTAATATGTTTTAAAATATGTGTGCAAAAATAATTTTTTCAACTCCCATTGAAATAGTTGTTGCTATGGAGGGCTCAACATATCAGTGGCTATGTGCCTCAGCCAGACAGGTGGAAAGCATCTGAAAACATGCATTTCAGCCTGCACAGATTGTCCCTGGGTCCCCAAGTTGCATGAAATGTAATAAAAATATTGTTGCTCTTTACATTGCAAAACCTTTTTTGGTTTCAGAGCATGACAAATGTATCTCAGCAACTTTACCTGTAAATATAAGATAGCTGCTGTTGTCTCGCACATTGAAGAGGCAATAAATAACCTTTGAATCTATGGAGAAGATGATCCAGGGCTCCTTTAGCAAACCACAGCATCAAACAATTTCCAGTGTGCTAATATGCAACAAGAACATTGTCATCTTGTAGGTGTACTACATATACATTATCATCAGTTGGAACATACAAACTGATTCAGTTCATTTGCACTAAGAAAAGTATTAAATATATCAGCTAAATCCTTATTTCTAAAGCTTTCAATGTTCTTTTTCTTTACCTCTTTCTTCAGTTATTTTGTTGCTAGCCCCACAATCATCACCAAAGATAACATAGTTGTTTGGACCCTTAAACCATTAATATCCTGTTGATGTAGACGGTAGATCAGGTATGACATAAGATCCCAACTGAGCACTTCACGTGTTTTATTGTCAAGTATAGTGGACTGTATTTGTAAACAAATGCAGCCTCATTCAGAAGACACAATAAGCTACTATATCAAATGCAAGGATTATTAGTTTATTAACTGATACCTATGTAATAAAAAACATGGCAACTATTTTTGTTTCAGAATATGAATAAACAAGCTTATGATCTAGCTAAAGTACTGCTGAAGAGAACAGCACAGACAATTGAACCATGTATTGCCAGTGTAAGTATCAAAATAACAGTACTGCAGTGACATAATATCTGTATCTATATTCTACCGTTCTAAAGTAATATAGGAATGGGATGCCCATCCAGGTTGGTTAAGCGCTTTGGGATGGCCTTACAATGTGAAAAGCTCTATATAAATGTAAATTTGTATTGTAGGGAAATGCAAAAGTGGATTTCTTCGTTTCGGACTGCGCTGCAAGTTAAATGTAAAACATTTGGCCTCGCATGTTTAAGTTACTATGGAATGCATCAAGCAATTCCAAACAAGCTATGTTCCATATATGATTTGATCAAATGCCACCAAATTATTCAAGCTGCGTTTCCTTTACTCAAGTTAACCCAGTTCTTACTAAACGTCTGTTGTAGTGTCCATTGAAGACCCAACTTTAGAACTGATTGAAAAGAATGGTATTGCTAGGGTGTAAAAGTTCTGGGATACAACTTATGCGCTTGACTAATTATTAAAAAGATTTGAGGTTTTGAGTAAGAAGCATAAGGTTTGGGAAATAATTTATTTTACGTCCAGAAACTTCTGAGATTTATATGAAGGAGAGCATTCAAAGGGGAAAAGCTTTTCTTGACTTTCTTTTTTTGACATTCTTGACTTAAATTACAGATCCAAAGCTATTAATTCCTTGATGCAAGTGTATTTTTTTTTTGATTGGCCTAACATTAAAAAAGACCCCATGAAAAGAATTCCAAATAATTTTCAGAAAATTATAAATAACGTATTGCTGGGTTCCACAGTGAGCTTTAATTAACTGACTTCTTTACTTTTATGACTATTCCCATCATATCATCTGTAAATCACTTAAATATAGATGTAAACTGTAGACCTCAAATTGTATTTCAAAATTTTTGACTGCTTTAGAAATATTTTTGGAATGGAAAGATAGCCTAGCAGTGTGCTGTTTTATTGAATGCAGAATCATTTTGTTCTGATTTTTATCGTTACATTTTTATTGTTAACTGACTTACTTCTGTTTTGACTAGTTCTTCAATCAGGTCCTGGTGCTTGGGAAATCATCTGTCAGCGATTTGTCTGAACATGTCTTTGATCTGATTATGGAGCTTTTTGCTATTGATCCTCATCTGCTGCTCTCAGTTATGCCGCAACTTGAGTTTAAACTCAAGGTAAGTTTTGATCTTGTGGAACGACAGGTATATGCTGCATACCTGAGCTTCAGTTCAGAACTAAGCTTAATTTATTTAATTAATTGGTAGGAACAATTTATTAAAATTCTGTTTGTTTGAATATAAGAAGCTGTTACGATAGTTAGCTTTCGTTTTCATTTGTTTAAATTTACAACTGATCTTGTAAGTTGAAAGTGGGTGGATTTTGTATGGGACGTCTTGGAACGTCCTCCCGACGTGAAAGGCGCTATACAAATGTAATTTGGTGGTGTTGGTGGTGTTTTTATGTGGCTCTCTGTATAATTATTTTATAGGCAAAGGAAAGTTGAGGGTGGTGCTTTCTGTACAAAGTACTTTCCCGCTCCCCTCCCTCATGCAGATATGTACCAGATACATTTTATACCTATAGTAAGAAGCCCTAATTTTTCCAATTTGTCTTGGATCTGCCTCCTCGAAGTCTAGGCAACTCAATGATATTACTGATGGGTGGGGATGGTCACCCCTGTTGAGGCTAGATATGGATGCTTTGGCCAGGCCTGATGTGGTTCACCTGAGAGACATTGAGCCTAGAGAATGCTGAAATATTCTGCCATAATGCACTTTTGTGGTGTCCAGCAGTTTTGGATCAGTTTCCTGGTCAATATTCTTTCTTCACCTATAACAGACATTTTTTTTTAGGCAGTAACAGAATCACTTTTCGTTTCCTTTCCACCAGCCCCAAAATTGCATGGTCCAATCCCAACCCATGAATTCTAAATGTGCTTGCCAAGACTCCCCGCTGCAATCAGCTGCCGACTATTGCTGGTCGCCCCCATTCAGTTTCTAAGCCACTTGCCTGCGAAGAAATAATTTAGAAAGTCTGCCCAGCAATGTTTGTTTTAATAGAGCGCTTGTCTTCCCAATATAAATGCTGGGTGGCTCAGCTTCCAGTGGAGTGAATTTAATTGAAGGTGGGGATCCCTGAGCTATGCAAGCAAATGACACAGAGAGGCTGTGCAGAATGGAAAAAAACAGAAAAAAAAACATTGTTGAGTGTTTAGGTAAAAATACAGCAAAATAAAGGTTTGCTTACCACAAAACATTCCCTCGACCTCATGAGTTTTTAAACCACAAGTTCAGTGACATTTTTACCATGGTAACACTTCCCTACTCGAAGCTTATTTATACGAGAATGCCTGGTTAGATAATGGGTAAGAATTGCGGATGTCGTCAGTTCTGGCCAGGCTCCACTGACACCCCATCACCGAATGGATTGACTTCATGATCCTCACACTCGTGTTGAAATCCATTCACTCCCTGGCATCTCCCTATCTCTCCGATGTCCTTGCTCCCCAATCCACTACCCGGCGCCTCCGCTCGCCTGGCACCAGCCTCCTGCTCATTCCTCGCACTCTCCGCCCCACCATGGAAGGTCGTGCTTTCAGCCACTACGCCCCAAAACTCTGGAACACTTTCCCTCAATCCCTCTGCCTTTCCCCCTTTCTCTTTCAAGTCCCGCCTGAAACTTTCCTCTTCGACTGTGCTTACAGCCACCTACCCCCTCCCCTAGCTCGGAGTCAGGCTCCACCACTGTTAAACGCTCTGAGATGCTACCCTGCGTAGAGGGCGCTATATGAGTGAGAGTTGTTGTTGTGTATTAAATTAGGATTCTTAGAAATGAACATTTGTATACAATGGAAACCGACCAACCCCACTGTTGTTCACTAGTTGTATTTGAGTTCACTAGTTGTATTTGAATTGTAGTTAAGTGTTGTAACTTTTTTTCATTGCTGAGGAATTTGGCTGATGAATTATGTGCCATGATCGTGATTGGTCAGAACTGCCTTAGGTTGGCATCTGGATAGCATAGAGCATAGTCATGTCACTGGGTTCCTGGGAAGCTTTGTGGCCCTGTAGCACACAATTGAATGACAGTGAGATTGTTCTTTTCAAACTTCAACCTCCCGTGCTTCTTGAGGTCTCTTTGAAGTCATATTTGTAATGTTTTGGTACTCAGAAGGTGAGCCATTCTTCAATGTAGTATGCTCATGTCAGCTTGTTTTCCCAGAGTAATGATGGAGAAGAGCGACTGGCTGTTGTTCGACTTTTGGCTAAGCTGTTTGGTGCAAAGGATTCAGAGCTTGCAACACAAAACCGACCTCTTTGGCAGTGTTTCCTAGGACGGTAAGAGACAGCTTCTTGGTCAATGATGTTGGTGTGTTATTTGCTTCCTGTATGGCTTACTTTCAGTGGAAATTCAATACCTTTGGTTAAAATGTTGTTAAGCTCTGCAAATGTTAAAAACAGGACAAAAAGCTGCTGTTCTATCTATACCAATTTGATGTCCTCTTTACTCTTGGTTTTTGATGATTCTATCATGTGCTGGAGTACAGTTACTACTGGAGGTGTAGTCATCTGGTTGTTCAGTTGTTTGGGGTACTTTGCTGTTGCAAGTGGCTGCTGCATTGACCAAGTCACAACAGTAATTACCTGTGAAGAGCTTTGAGACACTTCAGTGTGATAAAACACTATAAAAATGTCAATTTTTTTAAAACTAAGCTTGCTCCTGTGTACTTTATCTTACACTCTGTAGATCTGGCACTGTTGGCAAAACATCTGAAACCTTGCTGCATTGCTGACTATCTCAGTGGGACTCGTCAGCAAAATATTGTCCTGCTGCGCAAATGGACTCTTATGAGATAACTTGATTTTTTGACAGATGGAATTACCTAAATATAGATCTCATGGCAACCCTCCAAATTGAGAAATTGCTAAGATTTTGGTAGAGGAGTCAGATAGTTGAAAAGTGGTGTAAGGTGTGATATAATAATCTCGGGATCTGAGCATAGGGTGTCAAATTGAGTCATTTGCTTGCGCTCCTCCTTTGAGTAAGAAGGTTGGGGGTTCAAACTCCTTGTTGAACTTGAGTTGACATTCTGAGATGATGCTCCAGAGGAATACTGGGGTAGATGCCATCTGCCAGTTCAGGTGGAAATTAAAGATCCCTTGACACCATTTGAAAAGTGAAGGGAATTTCTCCCAGCAATTCTTTCATTATTTCTAAAACTTAAAGGGCAAGAGTAATACACTTAAACCACTGGTAGCCGATTCCAGCATATAATTGTTTGACCGCGAGTAGAAGATGGCAAATAATCTATTTTTTGCTCATGGGATTCAAACAATTGGAATCAAATTCAATATCCACTGTGAAGTCCAGCAAGGCTGATGAGGCTACTCAGGGTGGCGTTGGCACACACTAGGAGAGTTAGGAGTCGGGAGGTTACACACCTGCAGGCCCACCAAAGTTTTTTTTAACTTTTAGGTTTCAAACCCAGTCTGGTTAGGTACGAACTCTGGATACCTGGAGCCGGAGGTTTACTGTATTACTATTCTTCTATCTAAGAATATAGGTTTACTGTATTACTATTCTTCTGTTTAAGAATATAAAATTACTGTATTACTATATTCCTTTTATATTCTTTCTAAGATTAAGTGACCAAAGCTGGGTACATTGTTCCAGATGATGTCAGCAATGCCTTACAGAGAAGCAATGTAATTTTTTAATTTGTACTGTACTAAAAGGAAAGGTTAGTACATTAGTCTCACGGTCATGCCTAGAAAACCCATTGGTGTGTTGAGGCAAGTGTCACAACCTGCCTGCTGCTGCTGTCTCTTGGTGCTGAAAGGTGTCTGGGTTACAGTTAACGGGCATTTGAATCTGGTGCTGAATAACTTCTTGCCACATTCTGACTTTTTTAACATCTGAATAGAACCCTCATCCATTATCTTGTGTAAATTCATGACCAGTTTTGTTTATCTAGGTTTTTTTTGTTCATTTAGGGTTATAATTTAGACAAGGTTTATCTTTGTTGAAGCAACGTGGAGTCCTGTAGCTCAGTGGTTAGAGCACTCGCTTTACAAGTGAGAGACCTGAGTTCAATTCCAGGCAGAGCGAAACCTTGGGCAAGTTTCCTTACTCCACACAGAGCCTAATAATAATCCCTCCAAAACAAAAAACAATAATAAATTGGTCATTTTCAATCTACGACTGTTTGTGGGACATTGCTGTGCGCAATTGGCTGCAGCATTCGCCCACAAATATACAGTAAATTCACTTTACAGTATATTCTGTGAAGCGCTTTGGGACGTCTAGAAGACGTGAAAAGCGCTATATCAAATGCAAGGATTATTATTATTAATGTGAAGTAACTTGCAACTTTAAGTGAGCACTATTGCCTTGATTTGGCAGATTACGAAAATGATCAGTTGAGCTCCAACCTGACCCTAACAACTTATTGAGGTGACTGCTTCCATATTTATGCAGATTTATATAATTTAGTTTATGTGGAATTTTGACTGATCAAAAGTATTAGACAGCCAAAGAATAGTTTTCGGTGTCTGAATGCAGTTCATAATAATAAATCCTCACATTTGTTATAGCACCTTACCACATCGTCGAGGAGTCTCAAAGTACTTCACAGGATTCCTTTGTAGAGTGCGATGCCGATAATTATAGGTGACGGTGGCAGCAATTTGTATGCAGCAATGTCCCACAACATCTTTGAAGTGAATAATCGATTCATCATGCACAAACGAACTTCCTGCTACTTATCTATTTTTGACCTAAGTGCACTTTGGAGCTTATTATTTTGAGTGTTCACCTATCCTATTACCCGTGATCCAAGTGAGGTCCACTTCTGAACGGTATAAAAACATTTTACAAAGACAGTTGACATATAGTGTCAAATCATTTGAAGGGACAGCATCACTCATGTTTTCTCCCGTTTGTTGATCGAGTAATCAAATAAATAAAGCTGGCCATGACTGGTGGGTAATCAGATCTTTATTTGTCAGTTTGTAATACCTCTATGTCAAATATAACATTTCTTTAGGAAAAAATGCTATCTTATCCCAAATGTTATTTTTCTAGGATTTAAATTTCAAATGGATAAGGCAGTTAAAATGTTGCTGGGAATTTTGCTGCATGTGACAAGATGGTTTTAAAGTATGAAAAACATAATTATGTATACTTCTCTACAGGTTTAATGACATTCATGTTCCAGTGAGACTAGAGTGTGTGAAGTTCGCAAGTCATTGTCTGATGAATCATCCTGACTTAGCCAAAGATCTTACAGGTGAGATGCTTAAATTTTTAGGAAGTCATTATAACAATGAAGTTTCTTAACACTTTGGGTGATATTCCTGCCTTGTGGTGCTCTGTTCTAACCATTTCCATAAGATCACTAAATACAGTTAGTGGCCTGTGTGAATATTATCTTTGGGAGGTAAATTGTGCTGGTTCCATAGTGACGTGCCTAACGAAAAGAAGAGCAAAGCTGATTCAACTTTCTGGGGCAGACTCATTTATCCAGTACCTCACCCAGGACGTTATATAGAATTCAAGGGTTCTCTTGATAGTTGACTTGCCTCATCAATGGGACTTCAGCAATTGGCAAATTGCTGGGGCTGGAGGGGAGTTCTTGTCACTCCTCAGTTCCTGATAGTTTTGCAAGGCAACAGGCTCACTTACAAGATGGTCATAGTTAGACAAGCATAGGAAAGCTTACCAGTGACTCGTCCTGACAAGTTGCACAATTTAGTTGGTTCAAATGTAGCAATATCCCTCTGGACTTTTGAGTTCCCTAATGCTTTGGGCACTGCCAGTTGTGTTCTGTTCTTCAGGAGTATGCACCCTTATTAGCATTTTGAACTTCAAAGCGCTAAACATCAGGGTTAATTGGTAATCTGCTTGGTTATTAAATGTTTTAACTGAATTTATTTTTACTTTTAGCCCTTTAAAAATTAATTAGTGCAGGCCAGCCAGATATTGTACACTGAATTTGTTCCTGAGATTTATAGAATTTTTGGATCGTTGGCTTTTTGTAATAAGGTAGGCATTTTTGAAATAATTTAAAAAGCAAGCCAGTAAAATGAACAAGGGTTGTGAGTCTTTAAAGTCCTCAAAAGAAAGTCAACAGGTATAAATCAATAGTGGGTCATAGAGTGGATCATAGAAGGGGCATTCAAACTGCTGGAGTTGACCTGTGAGTAAGCTCAGGACATAAATTGATTCCAAAATGGTCCATTCAAGTTATAATGTTTTTATTTTCATTATTCTAAGAATTAGAGGACATCCGAAGGTGCAAGAAGACACTCAAGGGTTTGCACCTGAGCTGGGGTAGATTCTGGGGAGTGGGGCCAACAACAACAACAACAAGATTGCATTTATAAAGCGCTTTTCACGTCGGGAGGATGTTCCAAGGCGCTGGACAGTTGGGTCGGGACCCGAGCAGAGGGGAAATAGTCAGGGTGAGGGTAGGGAGGGGGTAGAGAGTCGAGAGGGGAGGTGAAGGCACGGTTGAAGAGAAAGGTCTTGAGACCGGCCTTGAAGGAGGAAAGGGAGGAAGCAAGGCGAAGGCACTGGGGGATTGGGGTGGGAAGATAACTGAAGGTGCTGTCAAAGATGAATGTGTTGTGATGGACTTTGAAGGAGCCAATGTGAAGGGACTTTAGGGTGGAGTTACAGAGAGTGTGGGCAGATAGGCTGAAGGCCTGACTGCCAATGGTGAGGCAGGCAGGGGTGGTGGTCACAAAGCAAGCCAGTGCCTGCTGAGCAGAGGGAGCAGATAGGTTGGTAGAGTTTGAAGAGTCCTATTTGGCCTATTTGTTTAGGTCAAAACTGATTGTGATCTATTAAATGCTTACAGTGGTCCAGAGTAAAGCGTTGTATATTTATAAATTATTTTTTTATCAATAGAGTTCTTGAAGGTCCGATCACATGATCCTGAAGAAGCAATCCGACATGATGTTATTGTTACGATAATAACTGCTGGAAAGAAGGACCTGTCCCTGGTGAATGACCAGCTGCTTGGGTTTGTGAGGGAGAGAACATTGGACAAAAGGGTGTGTTTTTAAATAGCAACAATTGGTTTATCTTTTTAACACTCAGCTGAACCTACTTGCACGTTTGCCAAGAATAGAACTGTTTACTTTACCTTGGGTATAATGGTGTTGGGGCAAATTTATGAAATGTCTGCACACTGCCACCTTGTGGTATTGGTATCTTACATTATACAGTGTTTATGAGTATAAGTGTGCTTGGTTGAGCAACCACAATCTGCCACACAAAAAATATGTCCTGCTTCAAGGTGTGAGGACTCCAAAGGGTACATTGGTGACTGCTGGAGTTCAACTAGCTAAAATGCCTTACCTTGCCATTAAAAGCACTGTCTGGCAAGCTTCCCACTGCTTGTCCAGCTAAGTCGACCCTACACATTAGGGCTTTGGCTTGGAGAGTTAACAGGAACTAAATGAGAAGAAGCCCTGCCGTATCAAGTCCCACTGATGAGTCAGGCTGGTTGGTTTGTTCTGCAGTACTGCGGAACCACATGGCTCAAGATCACCACAGAAGATTGACTCAATTCCGCCACTGAACACCTTATTTTAGAGGCCCACTGCAGATTAAAAATGTTTCAGAATTACTCAACTTTTGGACTGAAACATTGACGAGCAATACCTCTTTTGGTCTTGGCTGGTAAGACTCAAAAGTTAGTGAAGTATTGACAAAAAGTAACATTTGCCACAGAACTCACTGATAAACTTTGGCCAATCTGATTGAGATTGGTCACGAACCAAGGAGTTCAAATAAGAAGGCTCTTGAAGAAGGAATTGAACTCCATGATTGCAGTATACGACAATAGTGAAGAACAAATACCCATCACTCAAAAATTGCTTGCTGTGCATCTTTTTTTCCACAAACTAGGTTCTGACCTTTAAAAATCATGTTTTTTTATATAAGTTCCTTGCATACATCTTCTCAAAAACATCAGTTTGTAGCAAGTTGGTTTTCTAAGTCAACCACCACTTTGTTTGTACACAATCGAGTACACACCTAGGTCTTTCACCTTACCCCTTGTCAAATTCTATATAATGTGTATAGTTTCTATGTTTACATCCAACCAGTAGTACTTTTGACCTCATTCCTGCTACTTTGTGGTCGGTTGGTAATCCATTTTCTCATGAATTTTTGATGATCTCAAAGAGGGTTTTATTTGAAGCATTCTGTTGTCAATTTCGGATCTCGCCTCAAAAATGCACAGTTGATCAGACACAGTCCGAATTGATCAGACATAGTACTATATTCTTATTTGGTGTCTTTTATTGTTTTCTTTCTATATATGTACTATTCCATTTTGCTTCTGATTATTGATTCCTTTAACTTTTTAAGTATTGAGATCAAGGTAATGTGGTCTTTAGAACTGGTATGGCACAGTCACTCTGCTTCAAAATTGTCTTTAAGTACCCTGATTGGTTCCAATAATCATTTGTTTTTCAAGGACATCATTCTTGTTCCTCTTTTCTCTTGCCCTTTCTAAATTTAGAATCACCTATTCCTTCTGCGTGAAAGTCAATCTACATTAGAAGGAATGAAAAGACTCCACTAATAGATCAGTTGGCAAAGCCAATGCTCCCCAACAATAGGGCTGCTACAACCAACTTAATGTCCTGGGTTGGAAAAACAAAAGTCAGCTGGAATTCCACTCATGATCCTATACAGTGACTCCTTTTGGAAAATATACATTTATTTACATGGGGTGGTGACAGATTTGGTTAGAAAGCCTCGCTGTCTAACAGCCTGCATCTCATCACCCATGCAGAATGGCCACTTGAACAAATTACCACCAAAGGGTGCCCTGGCATATAAAATTATATCCAACACCAGTTCATGCCTTCAGGAGAGGAGGAGCACATAAAACTAAAGCAGATAATAACTGAAAGAACAGCAGTATGCCGTTGTATTGTATTGAGCAGTACTGTGGATCCCTGCGGATTGGGTGGGTGGAAGTAAACGTGAAATACTACACTGCTCTGTTACCAATCTGAACAGTGATTCATAGGAAAGGCGATTTGGTGAGGGGTTATTCAATGATTTGCTATCTTAAACCCTTTAATGCCTGTGAGAGTAAAACAGGGCCACATTAAAATAATAAAATCCTTGTTCTGCCTTCCTGATTTTAACGGTTGTGTGTAGCTGACTGGTTTTATTTTATTTTCCATTTCAAGTGGCGAGTGCGGAAGGAAGCAATGATGGGTTTGGCCCAGCTGTACAAAAAGTACTGTCTTCATGCTGAGGCTGGGAAAGAAGCTGCACAAAATGTTAACTGGATCAAAGATAAACTCCTGCATATCTACTACCAGAACAGCATTGATGACAAGTAGGTCAATCTGTAACATGTCAGGTACAAGTTAGCCTGGTAAAAAAACAACAGATGGTATCAGTTAATTTCAGAATGTAAATTATTTAAGAACAATGGTTGGAATAGTGCTGCAATATCTTTGAAACTACAATGAGTTATTATTATGAGGTGCGCTTTGTGGCACATCATCTCACAATAAACCATTATTAAATAATTCTTCACTTTGTCTTATGGGTCATCTGAATAGATTGCTTAATCTTTGTCAGTGTTGACTCTCACTATGTTGTTCAGATTACTGTCTTAATAGATTCTCCATATTATTAAAAGGGGATGGTTAATGCCAAAATATGGAAATCAAATTATTTTCTTTTTTGTATACCATGTACGTTTTTTGCATTTTACTGAAGCATTTTCCCAGACTATATCCTCTAGTAATTTTGGATTCTTTGCTATTTATAACTTTACTGGATCTCTTCCTCTTTAGCAGATCCGACAGAAGTTCCTACCCATCTGCTACTAAGTTCACTGCTGACTCTTTCTGCAAATAACTTTGTTACTCTTCAGCACTCCCTAAACAAAAGTCAACACTCCTTTTTTCTGAGACGTCAGTCTCATATTAAAAATAGCCTTTTCATCTGCATAGGAACTATTTCTTCAAGGCATCATTTGAGGATCTATTATATTGCATAGGGGATAACTGCTCTATCGCTGTACCAGTAGTAACTCCTAGGTGCTTAAGGTTAAAATCAAGAAAGTTGGTTTCAAAAATTTCCCATTTTTACTTATTTGAGGTATATAGTAAACTCCAGTTGTTCAAAGGGAAAAAGTGACAAGTTATCAGGAGTAACAAATTAGGTATTTGTATGAATCCATAAATAATTTATATGCATACATAAATAAATATGTATGAATCCATAAATAAATGGCGTTGGGATATTAACAGCACGATGACTTAAGTGGTAGTTAAGGCAGGGTCAAGTTATCAGGAGTTTTCTGTAATTGCCAATTAATATCAGTTCCACGGCACTTATAAGGCAAATTTATATAACTTGCTTTATTTAATAAAAACAACCAAGCATAAATGACCTATTGTATGTTGCCTTTGAGTTGCCTTTATCACCTCAAGGCAGGACTATGGGAACTCTCTCCTCGCCGGCCTTCCCGGCACCTCCCTCCACAAGCTGCAGGTCATTCAGAACTCTGCAGCTCGTGTACTGTCCCGCACCAGGCTTCGCGACCACATCACTCCCACCCTCGCTCACCTCCACTGGCTCCCCATCCCCCAGAGGATCGAATTCAAGATCCTCATCCTCACCTACAAGGCCATTCACGCCTTGCTCCCTCCTACCTCTCCGACCTACTATACCCCTACTTACCTGCCCGTACCCTCCGTTCCTCTGGCTCCGGTCTGCTCCACATCCCCCGCCCCAACCGCCCTACCATCGGTGGCCGGGCCTTCAGCCTCTCAGCCCCTCGGCTCTGGAACTCTATCCCCCAGTGCCTTCGCCGCTTCCTCCCTTTCCTCCTTCAAGGCCTTCTCAAGACCTTTCTCTTCGACCGTGCCTTTAGCTCCCCTCTCGACTCTCTACCCCCTCCTCGCCCCCTCCCTTCCCTCACCTCACCCTGACCATTTCCCCCTGCTCGGGTCCCGACCCAACTGTCCAGCGCCTTGGGACGTCCTCCCGACGTGAAAGGCGCTCTATAAATGCAATCTTGTTGTTGTTGCATATTTGCCATAGATGTCCAGTCAGACGTTAGGCGTAGCTGGTCTCATAATTCATCTGATTTAAGATCTTCTAGAAGATAATTTGATTATTGAGCATCAAATGCATTTCTCAATTACAGCTGAAGTTTCCAAGATCAGATATACTCTAGATTAGCACTGTACTATTCTTGCTGACAAAATGTCATTGATACCTAACAAAAAGTTTGTTTTTGATGAGCAAGTTCTATTGATTCAACTTGAACCTTGTGCTCTGAAAAATAGTTTTAAAATTCATAGCAATTATCTATGTGAATTTGTCAGGATTTTTGCTCAACAGGGTTTGTACACATGTGGATACCCCTTATCTGGCTTAGGTGTATCCAAACCAGACAAGATTTCCATATATATATTATATATATGCCAATTATGCATTGAAATTTCTGGACTAGAATGCACACACACTCTCTCTGGTGGAATTATTAAATGCATGTTAGCGAGAGATGAGGCTTGGGGATTCCAAGAATGTGTGTTAGGGTATTCTAAAGTTTTAACAGTGTACTGTTTTACAGGTTTCCAACAGTTTATCCAGTTAGGACCATCTTACATGTTTGGACTTTGGCTAGAGGGATTAAACGAAGTCATGTAGAAAGAATTCTTGGCCCCAGTAATTGGTCTGCTCTTCCAAGTCCTGCCGCTCGGCAAGCCTGGCTGGTCTCATCAGCAGTGCTCTGGAATACTGATAATCCAACTGGTTCAACAAACAGACTACTGAGGCTGCCATTAATTCCAATTCAACATTCAGTTGTCAATCCTCATTTTGGAGCCCCAAGGAGACCCAGCTTACCTCTCACTCGGAGGCTCTGGCTTAACAAGATTGTGTAAGCTGAAGGTTCATTTGTGCCATTGTGTAACCATTATATTTCCATGTTTGGTTAGGTTGTTGGTGGAAAAGATCTTCGCCCAGTACCTTGTACCCCATAATTTGGAGACTGAAGAAAGAATGAAATGTCTTTATTATCTTTATGCTTCCTTGGACCCAAATGCAGTCAAGTGAGTATTGTTTGTCAAATATTTATGTTACAAAACTATTTGTATGCACAAACATTTAAGGTTTAAATTTAGTGAAACATGGTCTGATTAAAATCACCTGTATTTATATGATCACAAGACTGGTTAAGAAGAAGGCCCTTCAGCTTGTTTGATCTTGTCCTTCCAGAATACGAACCCTACCATCTTCCCATCACACTTTAAGCTGTTTTATAAATGAATTCAGTGTCCTGGCCTCAACCACCCTTCCTGGCAACCTATTCCATTCATTAATTATTCTCTGGATTAAGATGTATTTTCTGGTGTCTGTGCTGAAATTGACCTTTGGAGCTCTGAACACATGTCTACTTTTTCTACTGTCTTGTTGCATCTGGAAGTATTGTTCTGGGGTTACCTTGTCAATCCCATTTTAAATTTTAAAATCCAAGTCCCCTCTGATTTGTTTACTTTCAAGACTGGAGAGCTGAACCTGTCCAATCATTGCTCATAGCTGATTGCTCCAACACTGGGAATCATCCTCATTTATAAATAACGTACAAGATAGAAACATGACACTGAGCTCAACCAGTCCATGTCAGTGTTTACATTCCACATAACTCTTCACCCATTTCTTCACCCTTCCAATCCCTTCTCCCTTATGTGAAGGTCTATCTTCTTGAATTCATCCATAATATATGATTCAACCACCGCTTCAGGCAGCAAGTTTCACAATCTCACTACCCTCTGAAGAAATTGCTCCTAAATTCTCTTGTAGATCTTAGATCCCTTGGTTGTTATCTTATACTTGGTTATGGACATCCCAACCAGTGAAAATGGCCTATTTATGTTCACCTTATCAAACTCTTTTATATCCTTAAACACCTCTATTGGGTCCCCTCTTAAACATTTCCAGCTAAAAAAGGGACAAAATATCCACACTATTGGCCTTATTATTATAGCGTTATTTACCTGACTAGCTACTTTAGAGATTTCCCAGATTGTTTTACTCCTTAGGTTCCTGCCATCTAAACAAAAGAGTTTCTTTATTTTTCCTGCCAAAGTGAATTATTTAATTATTTAAATTATTTCCTTCATTAAACTTCATTTAAACTAATTTAAAGCTAGAATTAGTTAAATTGTTGAAGTTGATATTGGATATTGTATTTGCCTTCTTCCATTCAAAACTTTACAATTTTGTTGACTTTGTGCATTGGTGGTAGCACCAGTTTTGTTTTTAATGAGTAAATCGGATGATTTGGCTTGTTTTATTTGAGTTCAAAAGACTGAGTGAATTTATTGAGATTCAAACACAGACTTTGGTCCCAAACTGAAAGCTAAACAAACTAGACTACATGTTATAGTTTCAAGGTAGAACAGGAGGTTGTGTTACAAATACAGTTAGAAACATCAGCTGACTAAAATGTCATTAAGGGAATAAAATAGTTTGTCTGTTAAAGGGATAAAATAATTTTAATTGTTTACTTCCCCCGTGCCTTTTCTCTCTCCGCCCCCGCATAATCACAAGATTATAACAAGCTAAATTTCTTCCAAAAACTGAGTGTAAACATCAATATGTAATATTAATATTTGTCAATAGCATTACTTGTCACCAGTGTTGGAGCAATTAATATGAATTTAATTTTTTTTACATGAAATTAGAAATATGTTGAGTTTATACTAAAGCTCTCAATATTAATTTTGCCCGTAGAGCATTGAATGAAATGTGGAAGTGCCAAAACATGTTACGGAGTCATGTTCGGGAATTGCTAGACCTGCATAAACAGCCTGCAGTAAGTATTCCGAGCATTACTCATCTGTTTTTAGGGTCAGCTGTGTGTTGACACATGCTGAAACCTAACACCATGTTTGAGTATCCAAGCAAGCTTGAGTTCTCCTTTAAAAAACACTGTCATCACTCCTATCCTTAAAAAACCCTCCCAGGACCCTTTTCCCTAACTGCCACCCCATCTCCAACCTCCCCTTCCTCTCAAGGTCCTGGAACGAGTTGTTGCTTCTCAGCTTCACTCCTTCCTCTCCCACCACTCCCTTCTCAAACCCCTCCAATCAGGTTTCAGTGCTGCCCACAGCACAGAAACAGCGCTGGTCAAAGTGACAAATGACATTCTGGCCATCTGCGACCAGGGCTCCCTCTGCCTCCTCTTCCTCCTTGACCTCTCTGCAGCTTTCGACTCCATCGACCACTTTGTCCTCATCCACCGCCTCTCCTCTCACCTCAATCTCCACTTCGCTGACCTTGAATGGTTCAGGTCGTACCTCTCACTCCGCCTGCACTTCATCTCCACAAACGGCTTCTCCTCTAGCCCCCGGACTGTCTTGTACAGCGTTCCTCAGGGCTCTGTCCTCGGTCCCCTCCTCTTCAACATCTATATGCTCCCTCTTGCTGACATCATCCGCAGACATGGGGTCAAATTCCACATGTACGCAGATGACACCCAACTATATCTCTCTGTCTCCACCCTTGACTCCAGGACCACTGCTGTCCTGACGGAATGTTTGTCAGACATCAAGTCCTGGATGAGAATTAACCTTCTTCAGTTCAACGTCAACAAGACCGAGGCTCTCCTGATTGGCTTCCATCAGCGCCTCCATACCTCAGGCGCTGACAACATAACCGTCCGTGGTTGCACCCTCCACCTCACTGAGCCAGTCCGGAACCTTGGGGTCTTGTTTGACCCTCAACTATCCTTTCTACCCCACATCTGCATCATGACCCGGTCTGCCTTCCCCCATCTCTGCAACGTCGCCTGGCTCCGACACTGTCTCACGCCACAGGCCACTGATACCCTCATACATGCCTTCATTACATCGAGGCTCGACTCTGCAAACTCACTGCTTGTCGGCCTCCCCAAGTCCTCCCTCCACAGGCTGCAGATCATCCAGAACGCTGCAGCCCCTGTCCTCTCCCGCACTAGGCTCTGCGATCCTATCACCCCCATCCTTGCTCAACTCCACTGGCATCCCATCACACAGAGGATACAGTTCAAGATCCTGGTCCTCACCTTAAAAGCCCTCCACGGTCTTGCTGCTCCCCCCCTACTTCTGCGACCTCCTAACCCCCTACCAGCGGGCTCAGGCCTGCTTCACGTCCCTCGCCTTGCTCGCCCCACTATGGGTGGGTGGGCCTTCCGACACTCTGCCCCCACCATCTGGAACTCCAACCCGCAGTCCCTCCACCTCACCCCCTCCCTCGCCACCTTCCAAGACCCATCTCAAGACCCTCCTCTTCGACCGTGCTTCTGTTCCCCCTGCCTCCCTCCCACCCTCCCGGACCCCAGCTCAGGTCCGTAACTCTGTCTGTCCAGCTCCTTGGCATGTCCTCACTACTTGAAAGGCACTTTACAAATGTAATGTTGTGTGTTGTTGTTCCGCATATGTATGCGTGTGTGCATGAAAGTTCCATGTGTCTGGAACAGAATGCATATTCTTCTCTCTGATTGGTAGGGTGGTCCAGCAAGGACCACCCTACCTATCAGAGCTTTGGCTTGCAGGGATAACAGCAGCCAAGTGCACCCAATGAATCGCCCCTCCCAAATCCTGCTGACAAGGAGGCTGGTCCATCATTAGCAGTGCCTTGTACTGCAGACCCAATGGATCTGTATCCATTGTGGAGTCCTGTAGCTCAGTGGTTACAGCACTCACTTCGCAAGTGAGAGACCTAGGTTTGATTCCCGGCAGGGCGAAACCTTGGGCAAGTTTCCTTACTCCACACGCCTAATAATAATCCCTCACAAAATAAATAAAATAATAATTTGGTCACTGAATCCGTGATTGTTTGTGGGATACTGCTGTGCGCAATTGGCTGCCACATTTCACCCACAAATATACAGTCAATTCACTTCACAGTATATTCTGTGAAGCGCTTTGAGACATCTAGAAGACAGGAAAAAGTGCTATATCAAATGCAAGGATTTATCCCGCAAATTACCACAGAGGGTTAATTCAATTCCAATATACCTTTGCCAAATATACCACCTTGGAGCTAGCTCAGAAGGAGACCACATTGCATTGCTCAATTGTTCCATTTGCTTACAAATGCAGTCACTATATGTTAAAGAAATGTTGTGAAGCACTCCCAGACCTATTCAATGTTATTTGTGTCATATCAGATGCAAGGATTATTATTATTATATTAAAAATATTTCTATTTAACATTCCAAGATATGTGATGCTAAATATTTGTCCTTTACTACCTTGAAATATTTTTTAAATTCCATTAAGGAGGTTCACCCTCTTCACAAGTATTTGCTTACAGACATACATAGAGCAGTTCTATCGTGCATTTGGCATACATTCCTCACCCATGCTACATAAATTGCAAATGTTTTATTCCTTGAGATTCAAGGTGATACCACTTAAATAAACAAAACTATCTGACTACAAGTGTAGAAATAGAGGATGCAGTTCTACTAATGCAAGCTTCATTAGAGCCTAAAATTGAGATTAAGTAAGTGATGCAGAAATCATTATATGATTAGATTTCGCAAAGTCTATAGCAGGAGCTGTCGTTTCTCATCTTGTGGTTCCTATGCTTTTGTGTATGTATTTTCCCCTTGATCTCTATTGTTGATCGGCCATTAGAATGAATCAACAGTGTATGCATGTTTTGTCCCAATTCTGTTAATTTGAAATGGAAAAGAAGCTGAAACATTATGAGTAGAAACTTTATACGGTATGTTGAGCTGGACAAAAGAGTGTTTAAGCAATTGCAGGTGATCATTACGATGAAAAAATAATAATAATAGTCCTTGCAAAACACAAAACACTGCAGATGCTGGAAATCTGAAAACAAAAACAGAAGTCGCTGGGAACGCTCAACAGGTCAGGCAGCATCTATGGAGAAAGGAAAGTGAGTCAACGTTTCGGGTCAGAACGCCACTGGCGAAGAGTCGTGGACCCAAAACTTTGACTCACTTTCCTTTCTCCATAGATGCTGCCTGACCTGCTGAGTGTTCCCAGCGACTTCTGTTTTTGTTTATAATATTCCTTGCATTTGATATAGGGCCTTATTACGAAATGTCTCAAAGCTCGAAACGTCTCAAAGCTCAAACAACAGGATACTTGCTAGATTATGGTGAAGCAACAGTTTCTAAATATTGAAAGATTAACTACAAATATTTATTATACAATTATTTTGAACTGAAGAACATTTTTATAATTTCAAATATTTTGTTTTGTTGCAGTCAGAGGCTAACAATAATGCCATGTTTGCCAAACTGATGGCAATAGCAAGTAAGTATGCTTTGGAAAGTAAACATGTTAACATGTGGTGTCTTTCATTCAATTGCGTATAATTTAGTTGCTTAACTAATTGCATTAAAAAGACTTTCTCTTATTTCAAATTTATGTAACAATAAATGCACAATGTTATCTATTGGAATAAAGGTACATTTGGTTTGTTCTTTCACTTTTGACTCATCAAAATAAATTAACATTAATCAGAAGTCAAGCTTAAGTCGTAACCTTATAACATTGTACTGTGTGGAACCAAAACCCATTTTTTCCCCTATAAATTTAGTATCCAATTCTATTTAAAAAATTTTGCCCACTGGCATAAGCCTCTCTCTTCTGGTCTGACCTTCTCTCGCTGGGTTCCATAGGCATAGGCCTCCTGTACAGTGCCTGAATCATCATTCATTGGCCACTTGACTGTAGAGATCATCACAGCCGAGCCTAATCCCACCCCACCCAGCTGTCACACATGTGCACAACCAGTAGATGATGATGTAGTGAGACCAGGAGCCTGAGTGTTTTTCCCTCCCATGTAACCCGGTTGAGACCATCAAACTCGGCACCAGTCTTAGTAACCTGGTCTGTAAACTCCATCAGTTTTCATTCTTCCTCCATGAATTTAAATAGTGCTCACTTGACTACAGCACTAGCATATTTGGATTTTAGTGCATATAAACAACTAGTTGTTAAATAATTAAGAGCCAAGTACCCACAAAGTTATAATATTTTACTTCAAAATTCACTAGAATCCCATTTCCTAAACCTGTGATGATAAAACTATAGAAAAAAAAAGCCTAGTCTTTGAAACTGGAATTTAAAAGTTAAATTATTGTAGCATAATTGCATCTTGAAGAACGTTTTGATCTTGTGTAATATCCAAGTCTTGTACATTGTTCATTTTCTTCTAAATCTAAATCAGCATATTTTTTCTTCACTCCATCTGCTTTTCTTTTTTTCCATATCCTTCTCTCTTTTTCATTAAAAAAAACCATCAATCCTCTTTTAGCATAAGTAAGCTAGGAAAATTTGTCTGGTGCCAAGGTAGAGCATTTTGCTTGTGTAAGGTGTTCTACCTCGGTAAGAGTAAATATGAATGTTATTAATAGATTTGGTTCTTCATTCGTTATATTCCACATACCATGGGTAAGGTAAGTAATGGATTTTGGAAAATCTGAGTATATTTTCCTGTTCACATTTACCATAGGCAAGTGCTGTCTATCCCGTGTAAATGGAGGAGTCATAAATTCCATTTGTAGAAATCAAAGGGGGAAAGGTCAGAATTCAAACACAGCATAATCCAATCACAGTCTAACCAAAATACATAAGAACCAAGTCATGGTCAAACAGAAAAAAAACGAATACAGTATCCATGTCAGTGGATTGGCAAACACGTCATTGTCACAGAGTGCAGGATGCGATTTACAGACATTGTTTTGGCAGTTGTCACTTGGCTTGCTTAGGTTCATTTTTAGATGGAAGGAAAAATGTGAAAGTGCAGAATTGCATTGTTGGTGCATCTTTTGCCAGCTCTCTGCACTGCCACAACAACTTAACACCCTATCTAAATAACTGGGGGAGGTGGGGGAGGAGAGTGTGCCTCCTGCGATTGTTGGTTTTCAATCAACTTAATGTGACTTAGCAGGATGTGCAGTTTGACAAGATCTTTCACTTCTGCTGGTTCTCAGTCTTGTTTTCCTCTGGAATCAGACAGCTTTGCAAGAGTTACCCATGGTATGTGGAGGATAATGAATGAAGAAGAAAGGTAGATTGTCCTCCTTTAGATGTAGTCCTCATTCTTCGAACAGTTATCTTCCACATACCATATTCCCACCCACTTCCCCTCTGGACCTTGGTCCAGAGACCATGCCTAAGTTTTTCAGTGATATTTTATTTTTGCTGGTGTACCATGTTTTCATTCTTATTAATTTTAGAAACACTACAATTGTTAGATACTGAGAAACCTGTGTATTATCATTGTTGCTGGCATTTTTACTAACAATCTACTTTTTCAACAAAGCAAAAAAAAACTTGCAAGTGAATCTCTCAAGCATTGGTCAAATGGGACCTCGAGTGTCTCGACACTTAACATTTTCATACTTTGCTACCTCTGGTTGAAATAACTGAAGATGCCCAAATGAGGGGAGAACTCTCTTTTTTTAGGGCAGGGGAGGTCACATGGGTTCCAGCTGAATAGTTCCTTAAAGGGGCAGGCGACGCTGTGATTTCACGGTTAAATTGGCTGCCTTACTCCATGGTATGTGAAGGATAACTTAATTCGAAGAATGAGGACTACTCACCTCAAGGTGAGTAATCTACCTCTTTGCAGTTTCTGGGTCCAGAGAATAATGCATTTGAAACATTTTTAAAAAAATTTCTATTTAGATTTTCCAGTTTCTCCATTTTCTCCTGTTGACTAAGTGTATATGTTTCTGTTTTGCTTTCACCGGTAGTTTTAAAACTTAGGGTTTTGTTGTCTACTGATTACCGTATTTTCTAATCTGTCCTGCCTATGATCAGAAAACTTGCCTGACCCAGGAAAAGCGCAGGATTTCATGAAAAAGTTTAACCAGGTTTTGGGTGATGATGAGAGGCTGCGGGCTCAGTTGGAATTGCTGATTAGTCCGGCATGTTCATGTAAACAAGCAGAAATCTGTGTGGTAAGTGAACATTATTTCTGTGTTTGGTTACCTCCCTTAAAGTATATAAAATCTACTGCTCAAATGTTTACCCTTTTATTGAAAGTAAGACCTTTGAGAAATAGTTTTGCTTCCCTAACTCTTTTTTGTTTTCCCACACACCGTCTATAATTGTTCTCAAATTCCTGTCAATATTAGTCTGAAACTAGCTGCAATAAGGTGCAGATTATTAAATTTTTATTTCCTTGTGGGAAAGTACCTGACTCTTGAGACACAAACCGAGGCATCGCCTTTCCATGGAGCTAGCTCTCATTTCAAATGTTTAAGATAACTAATTTTTACTATATTGTCAAATTCAAACTTAAGCACCTAAAGCTCAATCATGATAAACAATTTAATTTTTTTCTATAAATTCATGGAATCTTCACTCTTTGTTTTCATCCTGTTTTCATCAGAGAGAAATAACACGTAAACTAGCAAATCCCAAGCAACCAACTAATCCCTTCCTGGAGATGGTGAAATTTCTGCTGGAAAGGATTGCTCCAGTGCATATTGATTCTGAAGCTATCAGGTATGCTTTCTAACATTTAGGTATTGTACGGAAATTACTGTTCAACACTTATTATAATTATTATGTTCTTTGCACCACAGATATTTATTTAATGGAAGCAAAAATTGTTAAGTAATGTTCTTCTACTTGCCTACTAACAATCCTCTGGATAAAAGTGGTCATGCCTTTTGTGGGACTTGCAGTGGCAAATAGGCTACTGTAATTGCCTACAAATACCCAGTCACTTCACTTTACATTAAATCCTGTGAAGCACTTTGAGACTTTATGATGATGATAAGGTGCAGTATCAAATGCAAGGATTACATTACATAAAATGGAAGCTGAGGGATTGAAGGCATTGGTTTGGAATGTGTTATGCTTGTACTTCAACCCTTTCTAATTTGGGCATTCAGGTGTCTGTTCAGGTTGGTATTATAATGTTATCAAAAAATCAACAGTATTCTGTAATAAAAAGGTCAAACATTCAAATGTCATCTTAACTATCATTAATAGGCAAAACATTAACTTTACTTAAGATTTCCATTTATTACTTATTATTTTTCCTTTTAATTTTATTTTGCTATTTTCTACCTTATTCTATTCGTGTTCTATTTTTTCTGATTCTCTCTTGCTTCCAATGCATATTTGGAGATGAAACAGTGTCCTTTAAATGATGAGATAAGTAGCCAAATAATTTGAATTTGGGGTAAATTTGGATTAATATGGGAGAATAATTGATTGATTTTTAAACTGTTTTTGTTTTAAACCTGAATGGGCTGCATTGAGCAATGGAATATGTTTCAACATTGGTTCTTTTAATTAATTATGTCTGGTGTCATCTGTCAATTGGAGTGATATCAGCTTTTCACTACACAAAAAAAGTATCCAATAAAACTGATAGTCCAAAGCCATGAGCTAGAAATCAACTGCTACAAGATCATCTCCACAAACTTCACCATTGAGAACAGCTTCAGGGTGTCTGCCTAATGCATATCCGGGCACATTCAATGTGCTACATATTGAAGTATCACTAAATTGATGATGAGATGAGATAAATTTGCAAATGTAACCTGTACCCTTGCAACCCACTTACAAACAAGGTTTCACTTTTTGTCATTTAAAAATCTGCACTTCAGGCTTGCATTAAAGAGGATGTGGTTATATCCTGTCTGTTCCATCTGAAATTAGATTATATGTACCTTTTTTTTAATATCAGCCACCTTTTCAGTATTCAGCACCTCAAAGGATACCATGTTATGGAGTCCGTGTGCTTTTACTCTTCTTATTGGCTGCCTGTTGTTGTTTACTGCACTTGCTGCCAACTGCTATTGTGCTCCCTCATGGAGTATTGTGCCAAACAAGAACATTTCTGTTTCAGCAGTGAGAAATTCATGATGCTTGAAAGGCCCATTGTCAGTAACTTTAAATGTTATGGATTATTGTGAAGTATCCTTATTCCCTTACCTATTACTTAATACTGAAATAATAATACTTGCATTTGAGAGCGCCTTATCTAGTCGTTGAGACAACAACTTACATTTAAATTGCGCTTTTCACACGGGGTAGCGTCCCGGAGCCCTTCAAACATCTCAAAGCTCTTCACAGAATAAACTGTAAAGTGAATTGACTGTATATTTTGTGGGGGAAACGCAGCAGCCAATTGCGCACAGCAGCATCCCATAAAGTCTTTTTTTTTCAAATTTGATCAAACAAAAACAATCCATTTCAACCGATTGATCCAAACAGTCAATGTGTTATCTGAATTTACTTTGTATCCTCTGGATTCTATTCTCTTCCTCCACCATACCCACACATACTATGTTCTTGTGATCATAAAGTTACATTTAATACAACATTCAGTACTGTACTGTTTAGTTTCTCATTCTTTACGTAAGCATTCAAATGCTTGAAATTCATTACTTTAGACAATACAGAAATAAATTGAAACCGATTCTGAAATAACCATCATTCAGAGATTCACCTGTTAATAACCCACCAGGTCTGAAATCCTAAATAATTGTGGTTAGTTTTTTTAAAAAGCCAATGTGCAAGGCCTTCTTGGTTGGTGCCAACTTGAGCATTCCTATCCACTGCAAAGTAATTCAAGCCATGCATCAGAAACCACGGGAAAGGAAAATTGGCAGGGATCTGAGAAATGAGTGCAATCAATATACCATGTAAAAGCAGGAGAGCAGTGCATTCAGAGTTTCAGATAAAATGTCAAGCAGATTGCTGGCCTGAGCAAGTAAACTGATGACGATAAGATGTCTTATCAAGCAATACTGCACATAATGCTTTCTCTAAGCAACCAAATAGTTGTCATTGCTTCAAAATCTGGATACATTTGTGTTGATTTGTCTTCATTTGTTGTGCCAAAACCGGTTAACTTATTGTTTCAGTTCTTTTTCTCATATCATCGGCATGAATTGCAGCTATACCTCTTAATCTGTGCCAAATTCTGAGTGTCCACCATATTGCTGCATCATGTTTGCATCTGTCAATTAATGCAATTGTAACACCTCCTAATAATAATAATTCTTGAATTTGATATAGCACCTTATCAAGTCTTCGAGACGTTACAAAGCGCTGCACAGAATATACTGTAAAGTGAATTGACTGTATATTTTGTGGGCGAAACGCGATAGCGAATTGCGCACAGCAGTTCCCCACCAACAGTCATGGATTGAATGACCAAATAATTTTTTTTGAAGGAATTATTACCCCCGGAAAAGCGATTCGCCAATCGACTAACAACCAGGTTCCTACTTACTGTTAGGTACACAGAGGTGCATGGAGTAAGGAAACTTACCTAACGTTTCACCCTCCCGGGAATTAAACCCAGGACTCTCACTTGCGAGGCGAGTGCTCTAACCACTGAGCTACAGGACTCCACATTGATGCACTTCAACAAAGAGCTATAGCTATCAAAATGAGCCCCAAGTTGCTGAATTTCAATAAATTGAGTCACAAATTATGATCAGAAGCTAAAAAGTATCAAAATAATGTTTGCATTTGATATTCAGTTGTAACAAACATTATTTATTTATAAATGACTACTTGTTATTTGGGCAAAAATGAAAATTAATGTCATCAGCAGTGTCCTACAAACAGCAATAAGTTGAATGAATACATTTTGGGAGGTGAATTTGATGAAGATGGGACAGTGGGAAATTCCCAGGATTTCTTCAAAACAGTGCCGAGATATTGTTAACACCACACTTGAACCAACTGCATAGATAGTACCTAATGTTAACGTTTAATCCAAAGGATGGAATCTCTACAAATGCAGCAGTCCCTCAAGTTCTGGGATGGGGCTCAAATTCTAAACCTTTGACTGGTTGGTACCAACAACCAGTCTTTCATCTTTCAATCTTTCTTCAATTGAACAGTTCCTCATTGAAGTATTTAATCTAGTTGCAAGGATTGAGCACTGAGGAAACTAGTCTCCAAAGATTTTCCACTCCACTGGGCATATCTATGATTAAAAAGTATTGGGGTCACTGAATTATGTCACTGGTTCAATAATTCATTTTCTTTCAAAAGAGAATTGTAAACACTTTACATTGAAAGGACTGAAGCCTTTTTTAAATAATCATTCAGTACATTGAATCTGCTCTTATTTTATTGTACTGCTGGTTAACTGCTAGAGTGGTATTACATATTGAGTAGCAGTACTGTTTAGTAGACTTCACAATAAGTGCAAAAGGATTTCATACAGCTTTTAATGATGATGATGATGGATTGTCAAGCAATATCTTACTTTCATTGCTTTGGAAACGGAAGAGGCTACAGAAGGGAAATTGGCTTGTTTCCTTCATCCCTTGAGTATTACATTGAATTACGTGAACTGGAAAGCATTGAAACCTGCCAATTGATCCAACTTGTCTTTATCAGTGTTTATACTCCACATGGGACTCCGCCCATCCTAATCCTCTTTCCCAATCCCCCTCCACGCTTCCCTTCTCCCCTCATCTATTTATTATTTTATTTGTGTATTCTTTGAGCAGTAGCCATAGTTTATAGTAAAACTCACATAAGTTGTATCAGTCGGGACTATAACATTAAACATGACACTTACGCTTAGTCCGAGTTGCAGGCAAATGCAGGCAATAAGTCGTACAAAATCAGATTTAATCAATCATCTGCACTGCGCATGCGTAATTCAATGCAAAGGTAAGTGTGCATGCAATCGCTCATCACTGCAGCCAATGTCTTATGTTACAGTTCTTTAGTGAAGCTCATGAATAAATCCATCGAAGGCTCTGCAGATGATGAAGAGGAAGGTGTAACCCCTGACTCTGCAATCAGAGCAGGCTTGGAGCTTCTTAAGGTATGAAACCCAATTATCTTAAAATGAAAGCTCTTGATCTCCAAAGCACTTCAACATTACAGCCTCATGTGCTATGGGAAGATTGCATTCTAAATTGAAATAATTATGTATGGGTGGATTTGCTGTTAAATTGTAGTCTGAACTTAATGTAGTTTCATGCATTAATAACTTCTTTAAAATCTGACCACATTTTTGAATCTGTCAGTATTGTGACAAAACTAACCAATCCCTTTTTAGGGTTTTAAATTTTGAATCCATGTTGAACAAATAAATATTGTTGGGTATAAGGTTGTCTTTCAAAATGAAAATATAATATTTAAAAAAGGTCACCTTTGTATTTCTCCTTCCTTTCCATTTCTGTGCTGCAGGTTTTGTCATTCACACATCCCACCTCCTTCCACTCTTCAGAGACGTATGAATCACTCTTGCAGTGTTTGAAGATGGAGGATGATAAAGTAGCAGAGGCTGCCATTCAAATCTTCAGAAACACTGGACATAAAATAGAAACTGATCTCCCACAGATTCGTTCGTAAGTACCCAGTAGGAAGAATTTTCTGGACATTCAAATTCCATATGTACAAAAATTCTAAGGGAACACTGTTCTGCTTCATTGGAATATCAATTGATTTGAAAGATTTTGTAAATATAACTTTTATATGGCAGTATCATTATTTACAAAATCTGATTTAATTTATATTAAAAACATCGGGGAGAGAATATAAACGTTCTACCAAATCAGTGTATTATAATCTTTAGATACATGAACTATTGGCTATGATTTCAAAACAATATAGCCAATAGTTCCTGTATTTAAAGATAATAATACGCTGATTTGGTAGAATTTTTACATTCTCTCTCCATTGTCAAGAAGATGCTGGCATAGCATTTCTGCATAGCATTTTTAGATTTTTAAAGCAGTTTCTATATAATTATACATTGAAACAATGTAACCCTTTTAACATTTTAAAGATATCTCTCATTCATCAGTAAATAAAACTCATACAGAAAGGGAAATTAACTTCCATATATAACTAAGCCTTGGTTATGGAACCTTTTTCATGTCATTGATGGTGGGAGTTTCTCTGCCCTCGCACCAAGAAAAGATTATTGTCAGAATTCCCTCAAAATTCACAGTAAATTGATTTTAAAAATCCAGTTAATTCTTTGTACTAATGTTTTCCTTTCTGTGCAGATGTGGAGACCATTTCTTCACATCCTTTCATCTTTTCTTGAGGAAAACAGTACTAGGGTCCCAATTTCTCAGGCATGGTATATCTGGCTCATTCTTAACAAACCTAGCTTGTGAGTGCTGGTAGGTTAGCAACCATGGGAGGTGGAGAGGATGGGAAAGGGGGCATTGAAGTGGAGCCCAATCCTGTCCTTGTCCAGCATCAGCAGAAATTATATTTATCAAGAGCAGAAATCCTGACTCATTTATTCCTGAGTATCCAGTCCACTTGTTGGGTGTTTACCTCTGGCAATTGAATCTAAGAACTTTCTTGAGTCTTATTTATTTGAATAAAACTACATTTAAAAAATAAGACCACCAGTACAAAATGTATGTAATCTTGACTGTAAGGGAAGAGAATTCAGTAATGCAAGAAAAGTTAACATACCCAAAGCACTTAAAACTTTGCAAGGCATTTACAACCATCTCTATAACGATTCAGTAAAATTGATCTTTTGTTTTTCAAACAGTTCACTTATTCCAATCCTGCATCAGAAAGCAAAGAGAGGTACACCTCGCCAAGCCAAGCAAGCTGTTCACTGCATTCACGCCATCTTCACAAATAAAGAAGTACAGCTGGCACAGATCTTTGAGGTATCTGAATTATCTGTTAGTTGTTTTCTGTTTGCTGAAACTGATTTGTTCTTTAATGTGAAGTTATAAAAACAAAAGGAAGGGGCATTCGTAATCTAATACTTTTAATTTTTTCATTGATGGAAGGATGTACTTCTAAGGTCATGCAAACCAACAGAATTTGTCATGAATAGGGGCTGCAATCCCGATCCTAGGATCTCATGTGGTAATGTTGCTCCCAAAATCCCGGGATTTGTTTAAGAGAATCCTGGGGTTTCGGGATTGTATAAAGGCCGAGCCCAGGTAGAAGAGGAGGGTGGGTCTTCCGACTCCACGGGAAGTGGGCCGCACGTTTCCACGAGGGAAAGCCGACGGGAGCAGGTGAGCGCCTTCCCCGAGGAGGGACACTCTCTGAGGTACCCCGCTAGCGCAGAGAACAACTGCATGCGTCCTGCACAAGGTACAATTTGGGGCATTAAAATCCCAGGATTGCGAAAGAGATGAGGAATGCAACCTCTAATCACAGGGGTCCATTGGCAATCTCAAAATATAAATCTTTAGTTTTGCAATATCTCGATGACACATTAAGTTGCAATATCAAATGCAAGAATTATTATTATTTAGTTTTATACATCAGTTTTTCCTGCTCCATAATCTTACTTAAATGAGCTATAATGTTCTTGAGATAAAGTGATTCTATTTTTTAGCTTTCAAGGGAGAAGTAAATAGGCATAAGAAAGAGGGGCTTGAAGGGGTCTGGGGATAGAGAGGAGCAGTGGGATTGAAGCCGAATGGTCGCCTTCTGCGCTGTAGATTTCTTTGTTTCTATCCATTTTGCTCTTCCCAGAGTACAGATACTGCTATGTATTCCTTCAAATAGTAGCCATGCTACAAATGGGAAAACCTGCCCCCAAAAAGCCAATTCTGAGTTGGATTTGAAAGCCCTGATGGCAAGATAACAAACAATTGCACAGTTCTTTAAAAAAAATGGAAAATGAATATTTTAGCCAGAACTTTCCTTGATATCTGCGGAACATGTGTTCAGGCTAACCTCAGGGAAGATTTGTCCAGGTGGCCCCAGACAGCAAAATATAGCAGTCAGCAAACAGCCAGGATATTTTTTACCCTTCTGTCTCAGTGATGTTGACCCTTGATTTTTAAACTTATTTAGGAATGTGGGCAATGCTGGCATTTATTGCCAATCCCTGATAGTGGTAACTGGAGAACGCATTTAAATTTTGCCAACTAGATTTCTAATGTCAATTCAAATTAAAAACAAATTCTTCAAGCTTGAAGTTAGAGCTTCTGTACATTCAACACAAAATCTAGTGTATTGTTCATTCAGTGTGGTATCTATTTGGCCTTACTTGAATTTAATTGGTTGTGTCTGCTTTCATTTAGTTGAAGGACAGCATTCATTTCTATAAAAATTGATCCACAGTATTACTTATTGGACACTTTAAACCACAAACCTGAGAATAGCACTTTTAACAAGAAATTATAGTTCTGTGCTATTGTGTTGAGCCAGTTATGTATTCTCTTTGTAATCACTTTGTTTCCTCTAGCCACTCAGCAAAAATCTGAATGCTGATGCACCTGAACAGCTGATAACACCGCTCGTCTCCTTAGGGCACATTGCCATGTTGGCCCCAGACCAGTTTGCCTCTCCAATGAAGTCGGTGGTTGCAAACTTTATTGTCAAAGATTTGCTTATGAACGACCGGGTATGTTAAGATGTTGTGCACAGCAATTGGTTTCTAAGAAAAAAAGGAATAAACAATATTAAAAATATCATGTGTACTATGTAATGCAAACGGCATATTGTTTATAATACTAAGGAGCAATCATATACTGTACATGAAGTAATCTATCAGGATAGGTTGTTACCATTATCTGATTATGTATTTTACTGAGAAAATATTTTTTCTATGTAATCTATTGTTAGCCTGACCTCAATAATTTTAAAAAATGGAGTTAAAAAAAAAGAATATTTCATCAGAAAGAAAATGGAAGATTATTTGTGTATAAATAAAAATAATTAATAAGTTAATAATAATTAATGAATTAATAATTAATGAGTTAATAAGTTAATAATTAATAAGATAGCCAGTACAGATTCAGAATGGGTAGATCTTATCTATCCATCCTCAGACTTTTTTTGCGTAAGTGACTACCAAAGTGACTGGTGTATGACATAAATGTACTTAAGCTTCCAAAAGGAGTTTGATGAAGTATCATGCAAAAAACTTTCACAAACTGATTTCACTGGGGATCAAAGGCGAGATATTGATAAGAATTTGAAATTAGCTGACTGGAAGAAAGTAGAGGGGAGATGGGTCAAAATGAGGGGAAGGAATTAAGTGGGGTGCCTTTAGAGCCTGTGGAAGGGACCCCTCCTGTTCCTTATATACATTAATGACCTAGGTACTCAGACCCAACATAAAGTGCTTATATTTGCAGATAAGTTGGGGGCAACTGTGGAATCAGAGAAGGCAGCAAAGGTCATACAAAGAGAGCTTCATAGGCTATGCACATGGGCCAGTGATTGACAATTGATGATCAGACAAACAAATGCAAGGTACTCCATGTAGGACAGAATAGCCCAAGGGGAAGCTGAAGTAATCTTAAGGGTATTAGTTGGTTCATCACTCACAATGTCAGAACATTGCGAGGCAAACATAAATGAGGTGATCAGGATGCTGAGCTATATTGCCAAATAACATGAGTTCATATTCCCAACAATTGTATCCAAGTCTCCTAGTGCTGTGGTCAGACAGAGTGCTGCCGTTCTGGTCAGCACAACGTAAAGAAGCTGCCCAGGTACAGGAGCCAGTGCAGATGATTCCCAGTGTTAGAATTAGGAATCATTATCAAGCTATGATTCCAATCATGAAAAGAGATATTTCAGAGGAGATGTTCAGAGAAAAATGTAAGATTTTGAATCGAGAAAGTAAACTCAACAAGATCATACAGGTGAGGTGTTTGCAAAGCAGAATTTCAGGGCAAACTCCAGAGAGTATTTCCTTACCAAGAGGGCAAGGATTAACAGATTAGCCAGGAAGAGTGGTTGAGACGAGATCAAATGGGCAGAAGGGGCTTCTTTATCCAAACTTTTGGTGATCATAATAATTCTCAACATCTGTAATTTTGTTAGTTTGCAGGAGGAAAAATGGCAAATTGTGGACCCCAGATGAGGAAGTCTCTCCAGAGGTGCTGGCTAAGGTACTTTTAAGATGGAACAGTAAAACAAAATTAATCTTCTCTAGCATGGACGACCAATTTGGGAGCTGCATTACGAACGTGTAAAATAGTCACATGAGCCACAAGTTGGCCATCCCTGTTCTATAGAATATGTACCAATAACATTGTTCAGAAGTTGGTATTTTTTTCTGCACAGATCTGTTTTGACCAAATTAAGATGAACTCTTGTCCCTTAATGGCTCTGTCCTTGGTCCCCTCCTCTTCAATATCTATGCTTCCTCTTGGTGACATCATCCGCAGACATGAGGTCAACTTCCACCTCTCTGCATCCACGCTTGACTCCAGGACCACTGCTGTCCTAACAGAGTGTCTGTCAGACATCAAATCTTGGATGAGAGCTAACTTTCTTCAGTTGAACGTCAACAAGACCGAGGCTCTCCTGATTGGCTCCCATCAGCGCCTCCACACCTCAGGCCCTGACAGCATCACCATCCGAGGATGTTCATTCCTCACTGAGCCAGTCCAGAACCTTGATGTCTTGTTGACCCTGAACTATCCTTTCTACCCCACGTCTGTGCCATGACCCGCTCTGCCTTCCCCCACCTCTGCAACATCGTCCGGCTCTGCCACTGTCCCACACCGCAGGCCTCCGAAACCCTCATACACGCATTCATAACATCCAGGCTTGACTATGCAAACTCCCTGCTTGTCGGCCTCCCCTATCACCCCAATCCTCATCCGACTCCACTGGCTTCCCATCACTCAGAGGATGCAGTTCAAGATCCTGGTCCTCACCTTCAAAGCCCTCCATGGCCTTGCTCGCCCCTACCTCTGTGACTTCTTAACCCCCTACCATCCTGTCCGCTCCCTCCGCTCAGCGGGCTCCGGCCTGCTTCACGTCCCTCACCTTGCCCAACCCTCTACTGGCAGGCGAGCCTTCTGCTCTCACCCTCTAGAATTCCATCCTGCAGTCCCTCCATCTCGCCCCCTCCCTTTGAGACCCATCTCAAGACTCTCCTCTTCAACTGTGCTTTCAATCATCCTGCTTCCCACCCTGCCCTCCCCCATCCCGACCCCCAGCTCAGGTTCATAACACTGACTATCCAGGGCCTTGGGATGTGCTCCCAATGTGAAAGGCGCTTTACAAATGTAATTTTGTTTTTGTTAATGCTTACATTCCCGTTGGTGCAAAAATGAACGTTCAAAATTTTCTGTGCATGTGCATTTCTACTTTTCTTTGTAGGTTCAGGCCATTAAGCTGTTGGTGCGGTGGCTGTTAGGGATGAAGAACAACCAATCTAAATCTGCCAATTCCACGCTGCGGCTATTATCAGCAATGCTCGTTAGTGAGGGTGATTTAACTGAACAGAAAAAGATAAGGTAATTTTGCATAGAATTATTCTCTGTAATCTATTATAATAATTAAATAGTCAACATGATAAAATAAAAGCAGAAGACTGGTTCACTTGCAAATACAAATTGATGTCATCTTAATAAAGAGAACTGCTCAGAAATGTCTTTTCATGCTTTTGGTGCCTCAAGGTCACCACGTAAGCGCAGAATGTATCCTTCTTCCCCTACCCCCATTCTTTGTTCCCTCATTTGGAAGATTGTTCCTTGGAATGCAACACTTAAGCTGCATTCATGAATTGAAGCAGGCCACACCAATTGTAAATCATTTGTGAGGTGTGAAACCTGTGAAATTTTGTGCAACTAAAAATTGTACTTCGTTCTCAGGTTATTTCCACATTCACATACACAGACTGTATTTCCTGTTTTAATCCTTTCATTTGATATAGCGCTTTTCACGTCGGGAGGACGTCCCAAAGCGCTTCACAGAACACACTGCAAAGTGAATTGACTGTATATTTGTGGGCGAAAGCGGCAGCCAATTGCGCACAGCAATGTCCCACAAACAGTCGTAGATTGAAAATGACCAATTTATTATTGTTTTTGGTTTTGGAGGGATTATTATTAGGCGTGTGGAGTAAGGAAACTTGCCCAAGGTTTCGCCCTCTGCCTGGAATTGAACTCAGGTCTCTCACTTGCAAAGCGAGTGCTCTAACCACTGAGCTATAGGACTCCATGAGTCCTATGTTGCACAGACATCTAAGCACAAACCAGCTAAAAATTCATCCATCCAGCATTAAAATCTTCAAAAGTGTCAGATATGCAAACTATTAATACATTCTAATGGAAAATGGTTTGTATATTTAAATAAAAATCATTGGTAGGTTATAACAAATTCTGTTCTATGCTATAGTTTTGTTTTGGTCAGTCAGTGTTTGACATATTTGGAAACAGATCATAATGCTTAAGAAAATCCAGACCAAAAACAACCCATGCATTGCACCCATTCGATGAAATTCCTGAGATATTTATTGGAATGGAATACACACTCTCTCCCTGGAGAGACAAAGCTTATACTTACCTAATTCCAGAGAGTATAAGTTGCAGGTTGGCTACAGGGACCCCAGAGTGTTAGTTTACTACTGGAATCTAACCAGCTAAAACCAAAGAATCCTTGTGCCCAGTGACTGATCTGCCCTTCCAAGTCCTGCCGATGAACCAGGCTGGTGGGCTGCCAGAGGTGCCCTGGAGTATTGTGGACCTGCCCAGCTCAGGAACTGAACTAGACCGCCGCAGAGGGTTCTGACATTCCGTCGCCAAACATGTCACCTTGGAGCCAATTCAACTTCAAAGAGACCCAGTTTACCCTTTCGAAGGACGGTCACCAGTTTGACATTCGACGAGCATGGGTTTGAGCCCTCACTAGGAGAATGGTAGATATCAGGAAATCCCTGCAAGCTTCTTGAAGGGCAATACGGCTCGACGTGAAATGCGTGAGGATTGCCACCATTTTCCTGTCCACTGCTCGGACACACATCCCTACCCAATGAACGATGGTTCCACCAGTTGGAAGTGCAGAGCTTGAGCAGTAGCTGCTTACGTTTCTGCAAACCATTCAAGTTGTATTCCAAGACCTGGATGTACTGTCGTGTTTTTGCAAACTCGGACTCCAGGTAATGCCTTCCAGTAGCTGTTGTTCAAAGCCGTAGAGTTTCCTCATCAAACATCTGCCTTCGGAGTGGTGTTACTTTGGCTATATTATAGCTGTCTCTGCTAATCTTGATGTTTATTCCACTAGAATTTCTAAGCAGATTTTTACATGTTTTTGTTTTGAGATATCTCGATGACACGTTCACTTCAAACACTTATTTTATGTACCATCTGCATTTTTTTTCTCTAGTGGTACTGTCGGCTGCTTATACTTGTCAATTTAGGCTTTGAATTTGGCACTTTTTGGAGGATGTACTCCCTGTGGTTTGCTCATATATGTGCGAAGGAAACCTGAGAATGTGGTGGAAAAGTAAATTATTTGCCTTGTATTCATTCTTCAAATGAAATGTCTCCTCCAGTTGCACATACACGCATTGGTACTTGCCCCTCACAAAAGCATTTGTTTATTGGAGTTAGTCAAAATCAAACAAAAAATCCCCCAGTAACGTCAAAGACGGACACATTTTCAATGAGAACATGATCTGAAGAATATAAAGAGGAACAGAGAGACCTGATTTCCTCTCTTTGTCCTGTTCAGACATGCTGCGTGAGACAATATCGATGTGTGTGGAGGGGACCTTTTATTAGAAGAGTAAGGATTACATGGTAAGTAATTTACTCTTCTTTTGGTTTTGTGTATCTTATCCTCCATTAGCTTATTACAGGTTGCAATATTATGTTACTTAAGAAATGTTTACGTAATTTTGATTTGAAAGTTGACCCTTTTTTCTGTTTTCCAGTAAATCTGATATGTCTCGGTTACGGTTGGCTGCAGGATGTGCCATACTTAAACTTGCACAAGAACCTTGTTACCATGAAATTATCACCCCAGAGCAGTTCCAGCTTTGTGCACTTGTTATTAATGTACGTATATATTAATTTTATCCACTCAGTTTCGATGTTTCTTTTTCATTCTTCCATTCTTATAGAATTCTAATCCTTGATTTTGACATAGCGCCTTTCACATCGGGAGGACATCTCAAAACACTTCACAGGATTTATTCTAAATTGTAATTACTGTATTTTTTAGTCAAATTTGTGTACAGCAATGTTTCTCATTCAATTCTAATGTATTGATGCACCTTGTGGTTCACAACAAACATTTCTGTATAACGAGACAAGGGGAGATGTAATGATAAACAAACATTATAGAATTCAATTTCTTTTAACAGTATACAGTTCCTTTACTGCAGCATGCAGGTGGCTTATTGACTGATTTATGTCATTTGGCAGATTGATAAATTGATAATTAAACGTTCTGTAATTGTATTTTCAGATCTGTAGTACAGGATGAATTAAATAACAGCTGCTCCAAAAAATTCTTTTTTTATAAGGTGAATGTCTCTTAAATTGAGCAGAAAGTTATTTAATGATTTGAATCATTAAAATCTGAGGAATTACTGCATCCAGCTTTTGTGGGTAGGCTTCGTCAGTGGATAGAACACCATAATATCAATTGATCGCAGGATTGGTTCGGATGAAGAAAGACATTTGATGTCTTCCTTTAACAAAACCATCCTACCATCTTTCTATTAGAGCAAACAAGCTGTTAAATTAGTCCAGTATCCTCTCCTCAGTCATCTTTCCTAATTAATCTATTTTAGAGCCTTCAGCCACTCTGCCCCCAACCTCTGGAACTCCATCCCAATCACTCCGCCTCACTCCCTCCTTAGCCTCCTTCAAGTCCCGCCTCAAAACCCTCCTCTTCGACCATACCATTGGTCACCCCCCTTCCCCTCCCTTCTCCCCCCTGACCCCAGCTCGGGTCTGAAATGCTATACACTGTCCAGCACCTTGGGACATCCTCCCGATGTGAAAGGCGCTATACAAATGTAATGTTGTTGTTGTTTCGCCTCTTTGTACAAGAAAAATATTTTCAGATGTCTCTCCTGAACTTGCTCTTCAGAACCTGTGCCCACTTGTCTGTTACCTTATTATATCTGAATTATTGTTCCAAGTTTACTTTCTCTATCCCATTAAATGTCTTGTATACTTCAACTGATGTATCTCTTCACCTTAGATTAGATAACCTTGAGCCCAAGATGATGATGCAATCATTCCTCCAAGCTCTTAACACTGAAAATTTGCCTCTTTACCTTCCTCTGCACTACCTCGAGGCACTGAGCACCTCCACCTCCCTGCATTGGACCCACTTGGCTCAGGAACTAGTCAAACAAGACAGCAATGGAGTACTGAATTGATTCCAATATTCTGTATCCCCATATCACTGCAACCAGAACTGTACATGGTACTCCAGATACAGCCTAACCATAGCCCTGCATGGCTTAATGTTACTTTTTGAGTACACAACTAATTTGCTAATGAAGCCTGGCATCCTGTTTGCCTTACTTAATGCTGTCTCACCTGATTTAAATTACCAGGTGAGGGGAGGTGGTGGTAAGCAAGATCTCCTTGAATCTGAGCTCACTCCTGGATGATGTGCTGGGCAACAGAATATTGGAATCAAGTCAGTCTTCTGTAGCGGTCTTGGTTGACTAGTTCCTGAGCCAGGTGGGTCCGCAAGCTGAAGACAGCCTGGCTCATTGCCAGGACTTGGAGGGGCAGACTAGTCAGGGATTCTTCTCACTCAGCTCCTATTAACACTTTAATCTAAAGCTCTGCCAAACAACACTCTCGTTAGCAAGCTTTGCGGTTTCATCTGATTAAACCAGCAGTACACCACACCGCACACTCTGGGGTCCCCAAGCCTTGGCTCTTATCAACCTGCGCCTAATACTCTGTGAAATCAGATAAGTGGGATGTGACCCTCGTGGGACAGAGTGGACATTCCATTCCAGGCATAGGGAAATTTCCATGTTTAGGTGGAACTCCGTCTGATTTGGATACTCTTAGCAAGGTGACAAGTTCCATATATATATCAGACACCCAGCTGACCAAGAAAGAGCACAGTGAAGTATGTGACAATCAACTAACACTTTTCAGCCTCTTTCAACTGCCCCTTATTAGTCTCTATCATGTTTAGGACTTACAAGTTCCTCCTATTTTTACTTCCTATGTGTTGTATCTTTTATTATCTGTATTGAACTTGATTTGCACTGAGTATGAGTCCAGATCATTTGTATATATTAGGAACAGCAGGCTCCAAAGAGGTTCCAGTTATTTTCTTGTTTCCAGTTTATTAGTACCTGGAATTTTGAACTCCATTACAATTTTGGGAGAGCACTGTATGGTTGGAGGTGCTGCCCTTCAGGTGAGACGTTAAATCGCACTTTTTTGTCCTCATATACATTAAAGATCCCATGGTACTGTCGAAGAAGAGTTTCGCCCAGTGTCCTGACCAGCAATTCTCCAGATAAACTGGTCATTCATCTCCTGGCTGTTTTAGGGACATTGCTGTATGCAAATTGTTTGTCTATTAATAATCATGACACATGACAGTAGTTTTTGTAAATCACTTTGAGATGTTTTGATGTTATAGGTGTTATACCAAAACCAAGGGTTACTATATTACCTCTTCATTATTTGTTTAACTCCCTGAAAATGTCTATTAGTGTTCCACATATCTCATCCATTTGTTTCATTTAGTACTCTGGGGCACAACGTCAAAGGTTTTCGTTCCCCCTCCAGAAATTCTGCCTTGCTGATGTCAAATTCGTGGAGCTCATACAACGGGTTTTGGCTGGCATATTGTTATTGTTCTTCCTCTTTTTCTGCTTCCCTTTCTCCATTCCCTTTCCACCCGATTTAAAAACCATGCATAAAGTACTCATTTGTTTTCATTTTGAACTCTCTTCAGGTCCTTTAAGATTTCTTGGCATTATTTTGCATCTACTATCATGATCCTTTTCAGTTTTGTTTTGTCTCCTCGATTTTTTTAACCGGTTTCTTCTCTCCCCCACTGTGAAATTTAAACTATTCGGTGAATTAGATTATATGTTAGAGACTATCATTACACTATCACCATTGCATTATATCTGCCTGTGAAATGATTACTGAGCATTTGTGACCAATGTAATTGTTTATATCAACATGATGATATTTTGTTCATATAGTACTTCTGCTGTTGCAGGATGAGTGTTACCAGGTGAGGCAGATATTTGCTCTGAAACTACACAAGGCCCTGGGGAAATTATTACTTCCATTGGAGTATATGGCAGTGTTTGCACTATGTGCCAAGGACCCTGTAAAGGAGCGAAGAGCACATGCCAGACAGTGTCTCCTTAAAAATATCAGTATACGGAGGGAGTATATCAAGCAAAACCCAATGGCTCATGGTTAGTATTACCTGTTTATTCCAAATATTTGAAATTCCTGTGGAAGATTTGTCAAGATACTGTTGCGTCAGTGTCATATTTGGGAAGAGGGGCGTGGCATAATGTTCACATATCAAATAAGAAACTTCTTTGATGTACAGTTTATGGTCTTTGAGTAAATTTGCTAACAAGCTAATATACACATCTGGATTTAGAACTCAAAAATGCTTAGAATCAAGTAAAAATAAATCCCGAAAAAAAATTTAAACCCTGAAAAACAGAAGCCTTGTTTATGAGTCATAGCACTGGCTTTCACTTTAATTGCACTAACAATTCAACCTAAATCTGTCAAGTGCTACATCAGAGCAATAAAATACAAATCACAGTCTCCACACTCCTGAATAGACTTTCAAGCAGTGACTGGAAGATTTTTTTTATCATACTGTTATTTGTTACCTATCTTCCAAACACGAAAAGATCTGCAGAAATGTGAAATTCTAGTTTATTTAGTTTGTATTTACTTTGTAACTGGCACCATTAATGTTAATTTATATCCAGAATTTAATTAATCTTTTGAAAAACACAGTAATGGCTGTGTATTTCTAGGTGAATGTGGCAGTCAATTTGCACACACTGATGTCCTAATTTTCAATGCTTTGTCTGTTATTTAGAGAAGCTGCTGTCTCTCTTGCCTGAATACGTAGTCCCATACACAGTTCATCTACTTGCCCATGACCCAGATTTTACAAAAACGCAAGATATTGAGCAGCTACGTGACATCAAAGAGTAAGTAATGTAATTCTGCATTGCTTAAATTGTCCTTGCATGTCTTTTGAACCAATATCCCCCCAAAAACCTGTTGGCCATTGGTAAAACCCTCCTTTATTTTTAATGCCTTACCTTTTCACTTCTTAATGCAACTTTTTTTTTTACTGTATCTGATAAGATGCCTGTGGTTCATGTTGGAAGTTTTAATGACAAAAAATGAAAACAATAGCCATGCTTTTATAAGAAAAATGGTGGAGAACATCAAACAGACCAAGGATGCTCAAGCACCAGATGATTGCAAAATGAATGAGGTGAGAGAAATGCATTTTGGAAATGGAATACTGTGATAGCTAAGAACTGAATCATTTGTTATATTACAGTGTTATCTTCAGAAAATAACTCAAGATTGAAATGACTTGTGCTGATGGGTTGATCCCAGGGTGGTCCAACTTTTGGGTGACATAGGAAAGTAGGAACAGGAATAGTCCAATCAGCCCTTCAAGCCCGTTCCACATTCAATTAGATCATGGCTGATCTGTAACTCAACTTATCTTTGTGGAGTCCTGTAGCTCAGTGGTTAGAGCACTTGCTTTGCAAGTTCAATTCCAGGCAGGTCAGGGCGAAACCTTGGGCAAGTTTCCTTACTCCACACGCCTAATAATAATCCCTCCAAAACCAAAACCAATAATAAATTGGTCATTTTCAATCTACGACTGTTTGTGGGACATTGCTGTGCGCAATTGGCTGCCGCGTTCGCCCACAAATATAGTCAATTCACCTGACAGTGTGTTCTGTGAAGCGCTTTGGGACGTCCTCCCGACGTGAAAAGCGCTATATCAAATGCAAGGATTATATTATCTTGGCATTTCCAATTTCCTGCTTTTGCTACGTGCTTCCCTGATCTCCGTGTTTATACATTTCCCCACTACATCACAACTCTCTGGAGGGTTGTAGACTACTCCCAACAGAGTCTTACCTCATTTGCTGTTCCTTAATTCTACCCACAGTGTTTCCACAACCTTTTCGACCTTACTGAAATCTTTCCTTTCCACTGCTGTAATAGTGTCTTTTATTAATATTGCTGCTCCTTCTCCTTTTCCAATGTCCCTGTCTTTTCTAAAGATTTTATAGCCTGGAATATTTAGCTCCCAATCCTTCCCAGCTTATAACCAGGTTTCTGTAATGGCTACCACATCATACGTCTAGAAGGCGTGAAAAGCGCTATATCAAATGCAAGGATTATTATTATTATAATACCCTTTAAGCTGAATTTGTGCTTCTAATTCACTTGTTTTATTTCTTATGCTCTCATTTGGGTAACTGTCCTCAACATGCCTGTATGCCCTGACGATGTTCTTCTCACACTTTTTGACTTGTTACACCTTTTGTGGTAACTTCCTATTACCTTTTTTCTTCTGCAGTATTTATGTTATCTTTATCACTATTTGTATTCTGACCATTGCTCTCATCCTCTCCTTGCCTTAGTTTTGGTTATTGTTTTGCACTTGTATAAGAATTAAACAGAAATCCTACGTTTTAAATTGTGTAAATTACTTAATAATGATCACCTCAAAGGAAATATATGTAACAATTTTTTTTAATGTATTAAAGTCAAAACGCAAGATATTAACTTGGCATATGGAGGTCCCTACAGAGAATGCTCAACAAAACCAAAACAAATTAATCCATAATTGCAAAACTAACTCTGAGCTCCTTCAAACCATATATGACGTGCAAGCAAACAAGGCACTAAGGTTTTCCATTACTTTCAATAAACAAATAATCCACTTCCCACTTACACTGAAATCCTCTATTTCCCTTGTGTTTTCTACTGAGACTCATAGTTTTGTAATTTACAATTGCAAAATACTCCTGCTGCTCGCTGTGTCTCACTGAGTTGCTTGAAGAAGCGCGAAAGTTAGGGGAGGAGAGGGGCGAGGGTGGATGCCTCCCACTTCGCCCCTCTTCCTGTCATTCTCCGCACTGCCTCCTGGGGACCAACCAGAAGAGAGGTAAAGCAACAAGGTCGAAAACGGTTTGCGGGCCTGACAAAATCATGCGCCGTCCTGGTTGTAGACCACGGGCTGCCTGTTGGACCATGCTGCTTGAAGCTATAAGCAATCGAGTGCTAACGTTAATACAGTAAAATGTAAAATTTGTTTTCTCTAAATGTTTTAATTTCTCTGGCTAAAGTTCACATATGCAGCTTTATAAACCACGGATAGTTTTACAGTATCAGTCTTGTATCACAGGTATGAATGTTAGTTCAGGCAAATAACTAAATTCAGTGAATTGTACGAACACAGTGATCAATTTTAGACTTACAAAACTATGCTATTACATTTTTCGATGTATGTTGGTATAATCCTGTCCCTATGGAAAGGCTGAACAAATTAGGAGGAAAGATTTCATTGCCTAAATCTATACGACAAATCTGAGGCAAGTTTTTTTTTCTGTTTACCATTACCTGATGTGAATGTGTTGAAAATGGAATCATGCTTTGTTTCAATTATACAATATAACAGACACATTTTATGACATCCTTTTTGCTTAAATTTGTCTTGTTTGTTTCACAGAAACTCTACATAGTATGTGACGTGGCACTCACTGTCATTACCAGCAAAAGTACAACATATAACTTGGACTCTCCAAAGGACCCAGTGCTCCCAACAAAATTCTTCACACCACCCGATAAAGTAATTTGTTTTTCCTACTTTATTAAGTATTCTTGCAAGATACTAGGTGTTTTGAAAGGGGTCACATTCAATATATTTTTCCCCTAGGTTTTCTCTTGGATTTATCCCTCCGTTTCCTTTACAGCACCTAGTAACCTTCCAGAACACCCACTTAAGTGGCCATCCTTCAGGCAAAAACCTGAACAATGAGTGTTTGGTAAATCAATTGTTTAGGGAAGGTCCAACAACAACTTGCATTTATATAGCGCCCTTCACGTGGGGTACCGTATCAGGGCTCTTAACGGTGGTGGAGCCTGATTCCAAATCGGGGGAAGGGAGGAGGTAACCGTAAGCACAGTCGAAGAGGAAGGTCTTCAGGCATGATCTGAAAATATGGAAGGAGGGGGCAAGGTGGAGGGATTGAGGGAGATAATTCCAAAGTTTCCAGGAGTAGTAGCTGTAAGCATTGCCGCTGATGATGGAACGGAGGTATGAAGAACAAGCTTGAGGTCAGAGCCAGGTGAGTCGAGGTAGCAGTTAATGGAGTGGGGAGTAAGCAGGTTGGAGAGGTAGGGAGGTGCCAGGGCATGAAGGGATTTTTCGATCCCCAGCTGTGCCCTATTCTCTGCAAGTGCAGGTAAATCTACAGTTGTAAACTATTTTGCTGTCCAGTGAAGTTAATATCAAAGCAAAATATGGGCAAATATCAAAGCAAAATATATTGACTACAAGAACTGCATCCTAGTGCTACCTCTGGTGGCCCCAAGCCATGGCTCTTGCCAACCTAAACCTAAAGTCAGATTAGATAAACAGTATGCATCCTTCCTGGTTGAATATGTGCGCTCCATACCGGATAAACACTGGCTGACAAAAAAAATTCTGCGATTATTCCTTCCTTATCTGATTACGTTTTTATTTGTGCATAAGTGAGGTAGTGTTTGTGTGCCTAATGTGATGCCAAATACAGTGATACCATGCAGGCACAGCAATTCCTTAGGATACTTATAAACAGAGGTGGGAAATGAAGAGCTAATTACCTGCCTCTTCCATTACTTAGCAGCCAACTCAAGTCTCCTGCTTATCTTCCACAGGCTAGGAATAATACTTGCAGTGAGGAGGAGCTAGGGGAAATTGCTTGTACACGTATAGCAGGGAAATGAGGAGAATGCAAATTTTCTCTTGCTATTCTATGTTTTTTTCCTAACCTCACGAGAAAGTAAATTTCTTTCAATCATTGTATCTTTGTTTAGGATTCCTGCAATAGCAAGTCCTACTTGTCAGATGAAGCAAAGACATTATTACTCACAGGGAAGGTAAGATTTTTAAAAGGTTTATTATACAAGATTATAGAAACCTAATAAGGATTTTTTGCAGGCTAATCTTATTTGCTCTTTAATTCCTAATATATATATAATATATATATCTCTTCCCCTTGCCACACTAAATGAAACAATCTATTAGCTCTAAACAGTACTGAGGCAACTACGTAGCAGTTGGGAAAATTGCAGTAAATCAGATCAGTAACTGATAGATTAAAAGTGCTTGAGTTAATGCTTGAGCAATTTCCGCTTTCTCATCCACAACCTCCAGTATCTCTTGATGAAAATCAATGTTAGGGTGCATGGGGAGTTAAGGCATAACTCCACCTACAAAGTTTTTGTCATACAAAAACTGAACATTTTGAATTGTATTATTTGTAAAAAGAGCAAACCAGCCAAAATTCACGGCAGGTGGATGAATTGTTAACATCTCATCCTGCCAGTAACTCTTGAACTTTCTGGGAATAAATAGGGATTCCCCTTTGCCAAGCCTTACAGCTGTAGTTCCTACCCCTTGCTGTTCTTGTGATAATACTGTATAGTAGGTACATCAGTTGCTGCACTTTACCCTGAAGGGATGCAAAGATAACAACAAGAACAACAACAAGATTGCATTTATAGAGCGCCTTTCACGTCGGGTGGACGTCCCAAGGCGCTGACAAATCTTACCTGCAGTTATTCTCCAAGTGGAACCCTGATAAGTTTCCAACATCTATTTTAACTCTTCTCTTGCTTTTTCATAGTAATTTTTTTATGTTCAAAACTTGAGTATTAAATTCAGAGAAACTCTAATCGTAAATAATAAAAAAGGAAAGTTGATTTTCTTACTGGAACTAAATGTTAGAATCCAATGCTTTTTTTTAAAAAAAAGCACAGAAGATGCCAGTACTGAGCAGTTGATCAATCAGTATCTGAAAGAAAAACTGCTTCGGGGTATTTCCCTTGATCAGAAGTTTGTTGGGCCAAGTGTATTTTTATGATCATCACTATATTGTTCACCTACCTAACAATGCTGCAACTCTGAAAATTTTCAGCATCCTTCTGAAATAAAACATGATAACGCAAGCAGTGCTTAATAATGTATACCAGAAGTGATTCCTAGCCAGGGTTCTGGAGAGATCAAAATAATATAAATAATGAGTGATTAAGCAGAAAGCAATTTAATAATTTGTCCCTTGAGTTTTGCCTTGGTTTGAGAGTCCACAATGCTTTGCACTTCAAGGATCTGTTCCATCTTCCGATTTGGGACTTATGTTGAACTGCAAAGTCTGATTGAATTAATCACTTAAAAGTCACTGTACCTGAGCATAATTAGTGTAATGTGCTTTGAGATTTATCAGTTTATAAGCGCCATATAAAAATGCAATTCTTCCCAATTGAAACAATATGTTCAGGCCAGAACTATGTGAGTTCTGGACAGAGAGCCTCTTCCATCTGCCTAACCAGCAAGAACTTCAGGAACGGAACATTATTTAATGCCAGAAGGATGGTGAAAAAACATGTAACTCACTGGCAACTCTCCTGCCCGCCTTCAACAAATAGAGAATTGCTAAACCAAAAGGGACTCAATTTTACAAACCTTTTTATAAACAAAATTATATTTGCAGGTTTGTCTGTTAGGACTGGAACAATCCTGTTTTGTACCAATGTTGTGCTGTGGAACCATGTCAGCAAATTACAATCAGGAGTTTGGTTATATCATTTTTGTAACCTGCCAAACCCTGCTTTTATCATTCTGGGCAAATGGATTGGGCACCTCTGATCTACTGGCCTTATTTTAACACGACTGTTTTGCAGTCAGTGGATTTTGTAACACTGTGCTGTTGTCATTTGGAATATTTTGTTAAAAAATTATTTGTATTCTGACACATTTGAAGCCACCATATGTTTGTCACATTATAAATAAATTGAGATTATAAGTCTATAAATATAAAAAATGTGGATATTTTTTGAAAACGAGACCAGCCAATATTTTGATGACCAAACCTTGTTTGGAACAGTCTTAAAAATGTTAAAACTTTTTTAAATGAAACTAATTTAATTCATTCTATTACTTGATCTCTTCAGAATTGGGATTCCTGGTACCTTATTCTATGCCTTTACTGCAGCACTGGAGTATCCTGTAGTTTATTTTAAAATTTTCATTTAAAAATAGAAGAAAAACCTGTCTTACCACCAGAAAATTAACAGAAACTTTCAACAAATTCTGCATTTGTAGCATATATCTGCTGTAGGAATTCAGCACCTGGGTTTCATCCAATTTATTCGAATGTCCAATATATAAAACATGCTTAATTTATGGGTACATGAATCTGTTTTTTAGCCTAAACCTGCTACTGTACTGGGTGCAGTGAACAAACCTCTGTCAGCAGCTGGTAGAAGACCACAGACCAGAACCCCGGTGTCAGATACTGGAAGCAATATAAGTGGAAACTCTGAACCCAGCTCACCAGCTGCAAACAAGGGAAGGTAAGGTTATTCTCATACTTAGTAGCTGGTAAATTCCTGAATTTTTCTTTCTTGTTTTTTTAACAATATTATTTTCTTTAAAATGTAACAAACTTTTAACTGATTATATTCTGAATTTGTAGCTGATTATATTCTGAATGTAAAACTTTAAAATTTGCATTCTAATAAGGATGGCAAAGAATGCCCACAAGCAATTTTACATGATGGTCTTTGAAGGCTTTCAAAATCTTTAGATAGTTACTCGAAGCAGTTTCATGTCCACATCAGTAATGTTAGATTAGGGAATGTGAAATCAGGAAAACATTTATATTCCAGCCTGCAATAGTTAGGACTTGGCCATAGAAACAGTTTGTGCAGAAATTATGACTTGCTCCCGATTCCTTCATATGCTTTTAACGGTGACACAGTCGCCAACAAAACACACAGTCACTGCACTGTACAGTATTTCCTGTGAAGCGTTTTGGGATGTGTCTCTGCCATGAAAAAAACATAACCAAATGTAAGGATTGTAAAAATCTGCACATGTGATTATAAACCTTTGCAAACTACAATAGAATCTTATGTTACAATTACAGCTTCTAAAGTTTTACCCAGCGTCACTTCATGATTTTTATTGGGATTGTGAAACTATTGTTTTATAGGGCTAATAAATGTGGTCGTGCTTGTTTGAGGATAAATGGAGGTACATGTGCAAATGGCACGGCCAGAGTACAAATTGCCTGCAAATGGTCAGCACACTTTCCAGTAAAACCTGTGAAATGCTTTGAGATGTTTCAACAATGTGATAAGTTGCCATATCAAATGCAAGGATTTTTATGATATTAAAGAAGCAGAAATCCACATCAGAATGAAATATTTTCCTGAAGCAGAAATAATTAACATTTGGTTGTCTTGCAGTAAGTCTTCATGGTTGTATTCCCTGATTATTCATGTCAGTATTCTCTGTTGGTGTAATAGGGGAATGACTGTGTACTTGGAATAATAACATTCAGCCTCATGCAATTCCTGGAGAACCTTCTTGTTACTGTATAAACTTTTACATCCTGGAGGCAACACCCACAAGATAGTCTCCCTGACGTAGTACCTGTACAGTACGTGGCAAAATTAAAGCATTAAAAAAGACTTCAGATTAAGAGCTCAAGACTTTTAAATCCAGTTTGGATTGAAAGTTTTCCAACTGTTTGCCCACAAAACATAGTCACTTCACTTTACATCCTGTGAAGCAGTTGAGCCTCCCTCCTGATGTGAAAGGCATTTTACCAAATGAAAATTATTATTTATCCCAGGAAAACAAAAGATAATGGTAACCAGAGATTACCTCTTTAACTAAAGAAATGTTCTATGCTGCTAATTAACGTTGTTGCATCTATCTAGACTGTAACCTATACATGCACAGCCAATTAATGATAATGGGTTTATTCAAAGGCAGTTCAATTGCCTGTTCCCACGTACAGTGGAATTTGGACTGTCAATGTCCTAAACAAGTTGACAGACGGCAACAAAGGTACTGCTCTGCTGCCACTACAAACACAAGCGGCCAACTATTGTATAAAAGTCCTGTTTCCTTTCCACCGATGAACTGTGAACCTTTTCATAAAAATACAGATATTTACAGCCTAGCTTGATGTATGGCATAGAACTGCTCCTCTGTAACTACAGTTGTGGTTATCAAAGACATATCAAATACAAACCTTTAATTACAGTACGGTAATTTAAGTATAAATACTTAATTGAAAATTCTTTGAGCTCTTGCAAATAAATTTATATGGAAACTATTTTTGATTTACTTTGTACCAGGGAACAGAATTCTGAAACTTCAGAAACTGGAGTCAGTGAGAATGAAGAGAATCCAGTAATACTGATTTCGGTCACGCCAGCTAAAACAGAAAAAAAAGATGAACCAGTCAGAAACAAGGTATGGTACATACAGTTCATAGATACCAAATATCATGGGGTGTATTGTAGTTTGTTTAGATATTAAAATGAAGCATTACTTTTAGAGGTGGATGGGAATTCATTTATATAATATAAATAACTATTCTTATTCCTACCCACCCCAAAAAGAGATACTATGAAGTAAATTCTCAAGAGAAAATGACCTCAACTTTGCCAGTCCAGAAGCAGTCATGTGGAAATTAGTTAAACTGACTGGCAACTTAGTTTATCCAAATGCTAGTGAGCAGGGAATGATATCAGGATAATAAGTAAGCCCAGTTTGCTCACATCTGACGTGAAGACTGACCGATCAGATTGGCATTGGAATGAATTTTGTGTCTCAATTGGAGAACCCAGTGTGATGTGACTCTGCAGGGATGCTTTTGGACCAACGCAAACTTGAGAATATCTTCTATTTTAAACAGTTATTCAGGGAGGTGGCTACTTAAAGTGTTGTTTATTACCTCATACAGTGCAGGGGGTATCTTGAAGTCACTCTTAGAAGATTAAAAATCCTAAATTACAGAGTCTGTAGCAGTATTATGCATCGGTCTGTGTATGCTCTGTCCTATTTATAACAGGAGATGTCCTCTGAACAGTCTTTACCACCACAGACAAGTACAGAGCGTGGAAAGAAAAGGACGGCACCTGCTGCTGGCTCAGAGAACATTCAACAGACCCCGGAAGAACGAAAGTCTGAAGAAACAGCAGGACCTGTTCCACCCAAGGCCAGACGAGGTCGTCCCCCTAAAGCAGTGTCTGAGAGCAACGTTGGAAAAAACACCGACACAAATAAACCGGCAGGAAGAGGCCGAAAAAGAGCTGCAGCTAATCAGGAAAGCCCTGCAGACCCAGAAGCAACAAATGTAAAAGTACCAAAACAGCAAGAAACAAATGTCAAGAGAGCACCAGCACAGAGACAAATGGATCTACAAAGGTTTGTCTTTAATTCGTGGTTAGCGTTTAGTTGTGTTCTCATATATTCATTGTTGGTGCATTTTGTTCTTGTCTTTGCCTTTTGTCGCTGGTCCAGATTTTGTAATTTATATATAACATAATTGCAGTACCTTAAGGGAGTGGAATGAGTTTTCCTGCTACTGATTTCTAGCCCTCTTTATTTTTTCAGAATCCAGGTTTTGGACAGTGATGGATATTCAGTGAAGGAACTGGAGTCTACTCCAGAAAGCTCAGCTGAGGAACTGGACCTGTTTAAGTCCTGTGAGAGCAGCCAGGATGAGATTGATAAAACAAAACTAGCGAAGGGAAGCTTTCTTAAGGTGCAGTAGTATCAGTGACAAATTATGAAATCTTACTAGAATAGGGCAGTGAATTCAAGTTAGTTTCAAAGAGCTGGGACACCAGCTAAGATGTCTTCAACACCACAACTTGCCTTCGGACCAGAAAGTCTCTTGATTAGATAACGTGCCCAGGCTCTATCACAGCATTGAACCTGTTGACCTGCTTCAGCTCTAACATTCCTAATATCATAGAAAAGAATCTGGAAGAGAAAGATAGGTTTATGTTTCAAATAGCCACATGAGCTATCGAGCCTGATCTCCCAGCAGACTGTGCACATCGTATTTAAATCTGATGTGGGCAATGAATAACTCCAGATAAAACCTTCACAAAGATAGCACTTGTGAAATTTTTCTCTGACCATAGAAGGTAATCAAGTAAAACTGACATTCTTAGCCATGATATTTTAAATTTGTGAATCATATCTGCCTCATATTATTCTGGATTGAAAACTGTCTCAGGCTTTCAGCTTTTTTAATCGTAGACTCATTCTTATGGTTGATCACCAACCCTGACAGGACAAAGCAAGTCTATTTTTGCCTCTTCTCGCTGTAGAAGTGGTTCCTACTGGAGTATATTTCAGGATTGAAGTGTTGAAATTCTGCTGAGCACAGTTCAATATTTCTAGAAATATTTATAACCATTCTTCATTCTTGGGTTTTCTATATGTTTCTTTGATCTCATAAGGATATTAATATTATTACAAACCAACTTGCATGTGACCTGTTCGGTGAGACATCTTTTTCTTTCCTTTAATTTCTGACACTTATCCTTTTCTATTGTTTTTGGATGTAGGTAAAAAGAAAATCCATGCCAAAGGGAAGGAGACGAAGGCTGTAGAAAGAAGTGTTCCTTGCCACTGAAGGAAACGTACCAGATAAAAGGATTGAGATACTGTACAAAAACTTAATTACTATACGCAACCTCCTCACCTTCAAAACATCAGGACAACACTGCTTCAGAGCTTTGGTTAAGATATTATTGAACTCCATTTAAATTTTAACTAAAATTTAACTTCTGCATTGCTGGAGGGCAGATGCTACTCCAGCAGTCAGTAATTCCCTGGGGCTGTTTTTATGAAGCATATTCTATGTTAAGATTGTTTAACATATATGTACACTTCATAAAAATGATCCCTTAGATTGGGATTTTGTTACAGGATGTCTTATGTAACCAGTTTAATTATGCATTAGTAATTTGCTGCAGCAGTTTTACCTTCCAAAGTAAGTTATTACACTGACTTGTGAAGTCGGAAAAGGTGCATTATAGAGTCTCATGTTACTATTATCAAATTTGCAGGCGGAAGCATTTGTGTTATTTAAAAATAGTCCCTTTTTAAATAGAACTTGATTTGGGTGAGAGTGAAAGAATACAAGAAAACAGCTGTGGTTAAAAGAGCAGTTGAGTATGTGCTTATAATATTTGACGCTACTGCCATAAATGTTGTAGTGAAGACTTCAGGTGTAATACTAAGTCTGCCATTTAATGTTGGGGTGGGGAGATTTTTTTTCACACTGTTCTCTAAAGTTTTGCACTGAGTCCATGTTGTTGATCCTCAAAGAAACGTCTGGGCATGGTTTGTGTGACTGTAGACTGCCCAGGCCTGTATTTGCAATTTCCTTACACTATTTTTGTGTAATTTATATTGATAGTTACTGGAACTTGCAGAGAAATGTGTGTCTTTTGTGAATACAGGCTGAGGACCAGTGAGTACAGACTGAGCTCCAGTGATGGCAGTGATATTGGAATTACTGCCTTTTTTGGTCGATTTTT